TCTCTTTGTTCTCATAAGGAAATCGAATTTGAATGTCTCCTATTATGAGTGGACTTGATCTTCTTTTTATATATAGAAGACACTGGATTTCTTGCTTCCATGGTCTCAAGATTAGAAGAGATCATAAAAAGTCATCTCTCTCCTAATGTCAATCTGTTGTATTAATTATCTCTATAATTTCTCAGCCTCTGCTTGCTTCCCTTTAGTGATAGGGAACTTCATACCTCATGGGGCAGTCCATTCCATTTTTTAATACAGTTCTAATTATGTAAAAAGCCATATTGCTCATGTTGAGCAATTTGCCTCTTACAGTCTCCTCCCTGTCGTCCTCTTCCGTGTTTCAGGGCCTCCCAGAGCAAGCCTGGCTCTTCTTCCCATTTTCAGCCATCATACCTGTCTAGTCCTCCCCACTGTGTACTTTTGATGGGGGGAGCCTCTTTAGTTTTATTCCACCATTTCTCATGTCACAGTTTGGGTTTAATTTTTTTTAATTTTTAATTTATGTTTTTGGTATTGGGAATTGAACTCAGGGATATTCTACCATTGAGCTACATCCCTAGCCCTTTTTTATCTATTTATTTTGATACTGAGATTAAACCCAGGGGTGCTTAACCACATCCCCAGCCCTTTTTATTTTGAGACAGGGTCTCACTAAGTTGATTAGGGCCTCACTAAGTCGTTGAGACTGGCCGCCAACCTGCAATCCTCCTGTGTCAGCTTCCAGAGTTGCATGCCAGAGTTTCTGCAACCTGGTGATGGCTCTCTGGAAGCCTTCCAGTTTTGTAAGTGTTCTTTAAATGTGTGAGGCCCAACTGAACAAAATATTCCAGGTATGCTCTACCTACAGAAACCAGACTTACCCAACTCTTTCTAGGGACATGGTAAGTCTGTTACTGCAGCCTGAGTGTGAATGAACTCTGGGTGACCATGCTCACTTATATTGAAATTGTGTTAACATCAATGGTAGTTTTACACAGTAGGTTTTGAACTTGGGCTTAGGGCTTAATATTTTTTCCCAGTAAAATTGAGCCTGTTGGGTTTGGCTCATCATTTCAGACAATTCGGATCTCCTTGGATCTTGACTTTTATCCCCTTTCCAGGTTTATGCTATCCAAGAATTTGATTAGCATACCATCTGTTTTCTCACCCAAGTCATTGATAAAAATATTGACTAGAATGCCACCAAGGATAGAACTGGGAGGCTTGCTATTAAAAACCTCCCTCCAGCTTAGCATTGATGTATCAGTTCGTTCCCTTGGGGCACGGCTAATCAGTTGATTACAAATCCACCAAGTTGTGTTCTGGTGGGTTGGGTGAGGCTAGTGTGCAAACTCAGCTACTGCAGATTGTGTTAGAAGGGATAGAAGGGATCAGAAGGACAGCTTACTCCTACCTCACCTTCTGCCAGAGCCCTGGATCCCACCTCCCACCTGTCTTTTCTTTTCTTGTTTTTAGTTGTAGATGGACACAATACCTTTATTTTATTTATTTATTTTTATGTGGTGCTGAGGATCAAACCCAGTGCTTCACATGTGCTAGGCATGGCTTTTCCCCTAAGCCACAACTCCCCCCACACCTGTCTTTTTTGTTTTCACTTTGGTTCTGAGCTTGGTAGCAGGCAGTATCCATGCTCTGTTTTCATGGCTCCCATTGCCACCTTTGCCTAGCTACTCTCCTTAGCCAAACCAGAATTATCCTAATTTGATTCTAACACTCTGCCCGTTGTTTCTTTCCCTTCTCCTCTGATCTACTCTCTAGCCTCTTTAAACACTGGGACCTACTCAGAGACCTTGAGGGCCTCTTTGGCCTGGCCTTCTTGCTCTCTCCATGTTGGCCTCTGATTCCTGACCTGGGTGGTCTGACATTTCTTCCCTCATCCTCCTCAGGCCTTCTGCTCTCATCAGACAGATCCATCACCATCTTTCCAAAAGGCTGGGTATCTTTCTTCCTTAGTTCCTCTGTCGGGACTTGGAGTTCTTGCTTAGAGTTCACCCTCCTAAGCTCAACTCCACCTGGCTTTGCCTGGAAGGACTTCCCTGGCTCCCTGGCCCGCCTCTGAGTGTACCCTGGTTGTTTGTAATTCCTGTTCAGTATTTCTATGCCAACTTGAGTTTTAGTTCCCTTTTTATAACAGCCCCAAATAGGCCATATTTGAAATCTCTCTGAAGACTGTCTTATATTTTGAAAACAGAACCATTCCTTACACCACTTTTTTTTAAAAAATATTTTTTAGATGTTGATGGACCTTTATTTTATTCATTTATTTATGTACAGTGCTGAGAATCAAACCCAGTGCCTCATACATGCTAGGCAGGTGCTCTACCACTGAGCCACAACCCGAACCCCCTTCTTTTCTTTTTTTAAAAAAAATGAATTAAAGAAAATTTGTACTTGTAGATGGACAGAATGACTTTATTTTATTTTATTTATTTTTATGTGGTGCTAAGGATTGAACCCAGTCCCTCACACATTTCAGGCAAGTGCTCTGCCACTTAGCTACACAGCCCTAGCCCTCTTTACACTTCTTTATGCATACACAGTTGCCTCATGTTAGTTTTCTGTTGCTCTAACGAGGTCCTGAGACAATCAGTTTAAAAGGAAGAAAGGTCTCTTTTTGCTCACAGTTTCAGTCCACAGTCTCTTGGCCACTTAGCTCTGGTGGCACAGTACATCCTGGCACAAGCATGTGGTGGAGGAGGCTGCTCACTTCATGGCAAGCTGGGAAGCAAAGAGAGAGGCCGGAGCCAAGGTTGCAACATCCCCTTCAAGGGTGTGCCCCAGTGACCAACTTCTTCCCACTAGGTCCCACCTCCTAAAGGTTCTGCCACCTTTTAATAGTGCCACAGGCTGGTGACCAAGCCTTTAACACATTGGACCATTGAGGGTCACTGCAAGTCCAAACCGTAGCCCCTAGCACACTGTTACCCACAGTAGGTGCCTGATCATGTTTACTTCCTTTGTTGTCTCCTTTCCCTCTTAGGTCCCCCAAATCTTGTGTGTGCTAGGCATTTTAGAAGTTGGTTGAGCTTTTTAGTTCCATCCCAGGTTCTTCCTTACCTTTTAAAAATCATCTCTGTGCAGCAAAATTTACATACAGTAAAAGTAAAGGCACCTATTTAAGCGTATTGTTCAAAAAATTTTGACAAGTAAACAGAGATATAAATGCCATCCACAATCCAGAGACTGAACAAAAGGTCCTTGCTCACTCTGTAGTCACTCCCTGCTCCCAGTGGCCCCTGATCTGTTTGTAGATCAGTTTTGTCTGTTCTGAAGTATATGTATGTGGGACTGTATGCTAGGGACTCTTGGGTCTGACTCTTTTCACTCAGCAATTTTTAAAAAATAGTTTTTAGTTGTTAATGAACCTTTATTTTATTTATTTATATGTGTGCTAAGAATTGAACCCAGTGCCCCACACATGCTAGGCAAGTGCTCTGCCACTGAGCCCCAGCCCCAGCCCCTCAGCAAATCTTTTTGAGATTTATTTATACAGTTTTGTATATTAGATTATACTTTGTTTTGTTGCATTGCAAGGTAGAGTTCCACTGTATGGATAGGCCACAGTTTATTCATCCATTTCCCTGTGAATGGACATTTGGCCTGTTTGCAGTTTGGGGCTGTTTCATATAAAACTGCTGACAACATTTGCATATAATTCAAGGACTAATGTTTTCATTGCTGGGTCACATAGTGATTGTGTGTGTAGCACTTAACTTTAAGAAACTGCCAAACTGTTTTCCAAAATGGTTGTACCGTCTGGCACGGTGACTCACGCCTGTAATTCTAATAACTCTGGAGGATGAGGCAGGAGGGTCTCAAGTTTGAGGCCAGCCTCAGCAAATTAGTGAGACCCTATCTCAAAATAAAAGGTAAGAAGGGCTGGGGATGTGGTACAGTGGTAAAACATCCCTGAGTTCAATCGCCAGTACCAATTTTTTTGTACCTACTATCTACCAATATTTTAGTAGATCCCCTGCATATACTATTGTACAGTTTTCAGGCCGTCTTAGTGAAATACATATTGTTATTTTCTTTTTTTTAAATTTTTTTTTAAAGAGAGAGTGATAGAGGGAGAGAGAGAGAATTTTTTAATATTTATTTTTTAGTTATTGGCAGACACAACATCGTTGTTGGTATGTGGTGCTGAGGATCGAACCCGGGCCGCACGCACACCAGACGAGCGCGCTACCGCTTGAGCCACATCCCCAGCCCCCATATTGTTATTTTCATTCTGAGAATAAGGACACAGAAGCTCAAGATCATCTGTCATTTGATACATGTCAGAGTTGGGATTTGAACTCAGGGATATTTGGCTTTCCAGCTTGTGCTGTTTTTCACAGTGGCCTCTAATGGATCTGGCCGTTTAAGGGAACTGCTCCTGGTTTCACGTCCAGACATGAAGAACAGTCTCTCCCAGAACCTCATGTATGGAATGCTGGGAAAACAGACTGTTAGGAAAAGGTCATGTTCCTGGCTGCCCTCTGTACTGCCGTGGTCCCAGCTGGCTGCAGAGTTATTTCACTCTTGCAGTGTTGGTGGAAGAAGTTATCAGGCACAGTCCCCATCTAGCTCCTGGTGTCTTTCCCTGTGGGGCCACTACCTCATCCAGCCCTGCTGGGATGGAGTGTCATGGGGACCTCAGCCATCACTGTAAACAGGGCCTGGGCAGCCTGAATCAGAGTGTGGCCTTGGGGAGGAGTGGTTTGGCCTCTCAGGATCTCATTTCAGTTGGCTGCCAGGGACCAAATGTCACTGCCTCGCAGAGCAGCTTCCAGCGTCACTCTCTGTCTCTGACCCCATAGGCTGGCTCAGCTTTGAAAGTCCTGGCTGAAAGGAAGGGGTAGGGGGGAACTTGGCAGAGCGGCCAATGACATCAGCACTGATTCCATCAGCACTGATGCTGCCTGAGGAATCGGGTGGGATTTTGGAGTGGAGTTGGTGGCTGCAGAAATGGGGCCTCCTGGCTGGCCTCTGGACACAGCTTCCTTGTTTCCCCGCAGCTCTTTTATGGGTCAGTTCTCCTGTGCTTCTGATTGGCTCCTCTTACCGAAGCTTGCTGCAGGCCCCAGAAATAACTGCCCTCGACAGCAGGTTAGTGCTTTTGCCAAGAGGAGTCACCTGGCACCAAACTAGATCTCTCAGTATCACTCTTCACCCAAACATGCCCTGATTTGAGGCCTTGAAAGTCATGGTGGCATTCCTGTGATCCCAGCAACTTAGGAGGCTGAGGCAGGAGAACTTCAGGTTCAAGGCCAGCCTCAACAATTTAGCAAGACCTGTCTCAAGATAAAAAATGAAACAGGATGGAGATGTGGCTCAGTGGAAGGGTGAGGGTCAAGCTTTGTGTGGGGCAGGTACTGGGTGACTGGAGAAGTTAGGCTAATCTTTTTTCTTTTCTCTTTTCTTCTTCTTTTTTTTTTTCTTTTTCTTTTTTGGTGTGGTGCTGGGCATTAAACTCAAGGCCTCCTGAATCAGGCTAAGCATGTGCTCTTCACTGAGCCACACCCTTAACCCCCGGGTCATTCTTCATTTTCCAGATAACTAGTCAACTTTTGCCAGACTGGTTGTCAGATTGGCCTGCCTGTCCTTTTGGACCTCTGCTGGGGTGCCTGTCAGACACTGCCATCACCTGCCTGAGAGGCTCAGGGGCCTGTGGGCATGTGTGTGCTGGCAAGTGTGGCACACATTTCCCAGCAAGTAGAAAGAGAAGGCACCTGCTCCTGGTGGCCGCTGCTGTTCCCTCCTTGTTCGAGTCGTTTCTAGATTCCAGATGACCCCAATGCTCACCTTAACCCTAATTTTGAAAAATGCTTATAAGCCAAAGCTTTTCCTGTCTGCTGGAAGTCTGTGATTAACAGAGAATGCACAGAACCAAACACAGTGTGCCTCTGAAAAAGAGGATTGGAGTTCTCTCTGGAGTCCTTCTCTCCTGGCTTCAGAGAGTGGAAATTGCCCCAAACTAACTGCTCAGAGCAGTCCTATAGTAGGATGGGGCTGATGGGGCCCTGGCACAGTGGGACCAGTCCTTTCCTCTGTACCACCCTGTGGCTTTGATGAGACTGTTGTGTAACACAGTAGTCACCTAGTCCTGCAACCTGATTTCTTTCTTCTTTTTCCCCAGATGCTGTGACTGGGGCAGACGCGCTGGGGTTTGTCCATGCTGGGGAGGAGTCTTCCTTTCGGGTGTGACTGCCTTCATCTGGGCATGCCTGCAGTACCCTGGGCCCATGGACCTGAAGGAGAAGCATTTGGTGGGCCCTGCTCTGTTGCCATGTGGCTGTTGTTGGGGTGCCTCGGTTGGCCTCCCCACCTGGGTTTGCTGGGAGGTTCTCATCTGGGGGCTTTACACTGAAAGTAAGAGAAGGAGTGTGGCTCTGAGGCTTGAGAGACGTGACCATGACCCCTCTGAGATGCTTGGCTGTGAAGGATGAAGAATGAAGGGCAGACCAGTTAACACAACTGTGCAGAGGTGGGGCTTCTGATTTGGGTTGGCCCCCGGCCAGTTTTCCACTTCTTGCCCAGAGGTATATAATTTAGTTTGTTTGCTCTTTGCTAGGGCTATGCCCCAACCTGCTGAGCCATGTTGAGGACTGTTGGGCACCCTGTCTGTGGTTAGGGACCAGCTCCCCATCAGACTCCAAACAAAGCTGCTTAATCAGCTGGGGTGGGGTGGATGAGAGGGGGGAAAGGGAGCAGCCAGGCAGACCAGGCTGTCTGTAAGATCAGCCCAGCCTCCAGATGTACCATCTGGAGGTAGATTTGTCAATCAGAATATTCCTCTCCCAGGGCTGGGGATGTAGCTCAATGGTAGAGTACTTGCCTAGCATGTCTGTAGCCCTGGGTACAACTCTTAGTACCTCAAGGTGAAAAATAAACACACAGGGCTGGGGATGTGGCTCAAGCGGTGGCGCACTGGCCTGGCATGCGCAGGGCGCTGGGTTCGATCCTCAGCACCACATACCACAAAAAACTAAAAAATAAATATTTAGAGTTTCTCTCTCTCTCTCTCTTAAAAAAAATAAATAAACAGAATATTCTTTTCCCATGACAAAGACTGCCCCAGAGGAAGTCCAAGTCCCTGGCTCCTTCACACCCTCCTAATGTAGGCGTCCTCTCTGTCTCTGCTCACTGCCCTCCAACTACATGGTGCTGATAGCTGGTACCTACTAAGATCTTTAGTGTGTACGAGGCACCCACATTCTGCCTGCCCATTGGTCCAGTGTCATTCCTTGCCTTGACTGTACCTCTAGTTATGCTGAATGCTTCATAGTTTGGACACATACACCATATGGAGGCTGTTCCTTCTGAAGTGACCTTGTCCCTTTTCCTAGCAAAATCCTTCTACTCTTTCTTTCTTTTATATATATTTTTTAGTTGGACACAATATCATCTTTATTTTATTTACTTATTTTGATGTGGTGCTGAGGACAGAACCCAGGGATTTGCATGTGCTAGGTGAGCTACCACTGAGCCACAACTTCAGCCCCTCCTACCCTTTCTTCATGACCCAGTGGAAATCTCATCTTCTCCACATAAGTCCCCTTCCTGCTTTCCCATTGTGCTCGTTATACTCTATGGGTGTAGTCTCTTTCTTCTGCCATATCTCACTTTCCCTGGGTCCCAGCACAGAGCCTGGCATGTAGCAAGTCAAGGGCTTAGTAAATATTTGTTAACTTAAGAGCTTGAGGTGGTCTGGAGATGGAGCTGTGGGTTCACTTCTTGGGTTTCTGGCAGCACCTGGCTGACTGCTTCCTCTTCAGCTCCAGGCTCCCTGTGCCTTTGGACCAATTGTGCAATAGGCTTGTGGACGTGAACAAGGAGCCAAAGGTTCAGCTTGTTTGTAGCCACCTCTGGCTGCCCTGCAGGTGTCTATACCAGCAGTGATCAGCACTGAGGGATGGCTCCACTGGCCTGCTTCCTATCTTGGGTGCAGTATTGCTGTGGGTGCTGTGCACTGCTCAGTTCCAGGGAGTGCCCCTGGAGACTGATGTCATGTGATATGGCAACCCTCCTGGTGGGGCTCAACGCCCCCAGAGGACAGCATTGTCCTCTGATTCCTGCTTATTGTTGAAACACCAGTGCCTAGTGTATGGGGGAAACAAATTGAGGGCCTAGCTTTGCCCTCAAGCCTGAGGGAGAAGCCTTGAGAGCCCCAGATGGGCAACTGCAGGCGCTATTTTTCCTGGAGGATTTCCGTGTCATCTTTCTCTGTAGATGAGCCAAGAATAGAAACCCTCAAGACCAGCAGCAGCAGCCTTGCCTATGGGATGCTGACATTGGATTGGTAAAGCCTTAGGTAAAGCTGGGGAGGTGGCCTCTGGCTTGCAGAGACTATTGTTTAATTGAGTAATCAATAGCACAAGTGATTCAGTCAGGACTAGCAGGGTTTCTACCTACACAAGTACCTTTCAAGTTGTATGCTGGAGTTTAAAGATGATCCGTAGCCCAAGACAGTCACAAAGCATCTTGGATAGGTAGTACTGGGAGGAGCTGGCATGGTCAGTTGATAGTCAGGTGGTCTGTGGGTGCCTGGCTCAGCCCAGGATTGGTTTGGCAGTTGCTGGATGATTTTTGGCACCTTGCCTCCCTTTTAGACCTACCAGTTCTCAGTCTCTCCGTTAAGCCCATGGTGAACGTGCTGCAGCAGTGACGGCCTGGGCTTCTGCTTCTGCGATGCAGGCCCCCCCTTTCCCATTGCTGAGGTGGGCAGTGTGGCAGGGAGAGAGGGAGAGGCTGCATTGGAGCTGCACAGCACCTGGTGTAGCCCCCTGTGTTGTCCCCTCCAGGGCTTGCCAGAGAAGGGAGAGCATCTGTTTCCCTGTGGTTCCCACCTGAGCAGTCTCCAGGAGCAAGGGACAGGGGAACAGGAGTCTCTCTCTCTCCTTGGCTACAGCTGATAGTCCTCACAGGGGCTGGCACTGAAGCTGACCCCACCCGCCTTCCTTTCCTGCTCCACATGGAAACTTCCTGCCCTTAACTTCTGAACTGCCCAGCCCCTCCTTTCTGTCCCCATTCAGTTCTCTGTTTGGCAACGCCCCCCCTTCTCCCCCCACAGGGAGCCATGCTAGTTCAGGAAGGGGGAGGGGAAAAGTCAGCTTGTGCAGCTCTTCCCCTCCCTGAAGCTCAAGATGGTGTCGTCTAGGAGACAGGGCCCTGGAGGAACGCACTCAGCCTCTAGCTTGCTCTCCAGCTAGGGGACCTGTTAAGCTGTCTCCTCTCCCTGGGGTATTGAAGCCCCATTCTAAGGATGGCAGAGAAGTGTCCCATCCTCTCCTAGTGCCTCAGCTGCTCCTTCACCCAGGGAGCCTGTGCCCAGAGCTTCCTTTATATCAACATTGTTCCCAGAGCCCTGTTTCTGGAGCTCCCACTCTCTCAGGCCCTGCTCGATGCTCTGAGAAGTGCTGAAGTGGAGCCCCTGTAACTGGCATCCTCTTCTGTCCGGGAGATGAGGGCCTGGGATACCCAGGCAGCCCTGGTCCTAGCAGCTCTTGGCTGGTGTGTCAATGCCGCTCTTCTCCCCATCAATTAGCTAGCTGGTAGGAAGGTGTTGGAATTCCTCCTTTCAGCTAGCTCTGCCTCCTGCTGCTGGAGTCTTCTTGTAACTCCTTGGCCCTCTGCTCAGCCCTCCTAAGTAGCTGCTCTCTCAATGGCCAGTCCTCACCCTTGGTGCAGGAGGTGCTAGTGTTGTGCAGGAAGTGCACAGATTCTCTTCCCTCTTCGCTGCAGCTCTGTGGAAGAGCTGCTGTTATCTTGGCTCCTTGCTGGAAGCCTCTGACTGATTTGGGGAGCTCTCACAGTGGAGCTCCTAACCTTGTCCAGTGACCTGGGGGCAGAGAACAGGTAATCTGGGAAGAAAGCTGGTATTTATACCCCAGGGTTCTCCTGGATACCAGCTGTTGCCCTTGGCAGCTTCTCCTGTCTGCCTGTCCAGCCCTCTGTCTGTCTGCTCTCTGGCTGCACATCTTTACTCTGCATACCCTGTAGGAGCCTCCTCTGAAGAACAGGCCAAGCTCCCAGACAGCTGGCAGAGCATCGGACAAACTTTCTTCTCTGGGCCCTCCTTTCCCCTCCCTCCTTCCTCTCTTTTTCCCTCCCTCCCAGGGCTGCTGTTGCAGCCTGCTGCCACCTCCTCCTCCTCCTCCTCCTCCCTCCCTGAATCTGCAAGGTGACTGGAAATAGGCTGAATTAATCAGCAGATTGAAGCTCTGTCTGCTCTGCTCTGCTCTGCTGCGCCCGATTCTCTGCAGCACCGGCTCCTCGCTCACGCCTGCACCAGCCCTTTGCCCTCTTCTTGCTCTCTGTTCTGCCTCTCCCTTTCTTGGAGGGCAGCTAACGCTCTGCCCCATGCTCTTTAAGCAGGCAGAGCTATGGATGCCCCATCAGGGCAAGCATAGCACAGTGAGTATTGCCAGCTTGGCTCTCCGTTTCTCTCACTGATAATCTGTTCCCTGCTTAGTGAGGGAGTCTGGGTTAGTGGTTGCCAAAGGAGTCCTAAAGATACAGAGCGGGAGGAAGCTAGAACGAGCATGGGGGAACCAGCACCTTGGGAAGAGACTGGGCATGAGAGCCAGAATGCCAGCATGTCAGGTGCCTGAGTCGGCCAGAGGAGGACTGGGGCCCGAGCTCCCGGGGGCATTCTGCCAAGGGATGCTAGGAGCAGGTCTCAATGCACAGGGTGATAGAAGTGTGGGGCCTGCATGCCAACCCTTATTGGGGCCCAGTAAAGGGGACTTTTTGGCTAGACTACATGGCTTACTGAGTCAGAAGCCATCGGGACAGGGATGATTCCTTCCTGGGTCTTGATGGCTGCAGGAGGTAGGGTAGAAGAGGGGTGAAAGTGTTATTAAGGTCTGGTGAGCCTGGAAGAGTGAGACGAGGAGGAAGCACCTCTGTTCTGTCTGATTTTCCCAGCTGCAGGTGAGTCTAGCTGTGTCTGGCTGAACTCAGAATCAAGAGTACTGGCCAGATCTGCCTCAGTGATCTGGACATTGTGTGGAGTCCAGCTTTGGGCCCCCTCCCTGCCTACACTAAGAAGGCTGTGACGGGGACCCAGAGAAGGGACCACAGCCAGTTGTAACTGGTGGTTATCTTTGTTAAGGCCTCAGGTCAAGGTCTAAATTTATAACCTGCCCACCTGAGCCTAGGAGTCTTGATTCTGTTGCTCCTGAAACAGATGGAGTAGGAAGAAAAACAGTTGCTGAGCCGAGAGGACCTTGGAGGGCCTCTGCAAGGACAGGGCTGGGGGCTGGGAGCTTCTGACTGTGCCACCTAAGACACTTGGCTGAGGTGGGTGCAGGAGAAAAAGGGGTATCATTTCTTGGAAGGCTTATTAGATTGTCTGATGCTCAGCTTTGTACCTTGATAGTCAGTTTTGCTCAGTGGCCAATTCCTGTGGCTGTGATTTGGTGGGCAGATTCACACCGCCCCCCTCCCACCTCCATGGCCAAGATTTCCCCAAATCCCCACACTTTGCCAACAGCCCTCTTGGAGAGCAGAACAGAGAGAACAGCTTGTTGGAAGGAAGTCCCAACCTTGAGTTATTCTTTCTGATACTGCATTCGAGTCTGAGAACTTACAACAGTGGGGATGGGGCTGGTTCTACCTGAAAAGCTTGAGTTTCCTCTTATCCTGGTCCCTCTGGGATAGAGGCCTTGCTCTTGGCCCCAGGAACATCTCCTGAGGTGCCTGCAGTGGGGCAGGGTAGGAGTTTTTAGCGTCTGGGGAACAGGGTTACTTTTGGAACCTTTGGGTATTTACAGCCAGGTCAGATTTTTCGTTACCTTTCTTGGCCCCAGTAGGCAGGAAAAGTAGACCTTAGACTATTCTTAGGTTCTTATTTCTCATATAAGAGGAACTTACTGCAGTCTCCCCAGGATGCCTGAGCACATGGAATACCCGACCTAACTCCATGCTGGAAGGGCTGACAGAGCCCGCTTCCCACCAGCCCAGTCTGAATCTCCTTTAGGAAGTGTGACCATCTTCCACAAGCTCCTCAGCTCTGGCCCTTCCTTTGTGTGGGGAAAAGCCGAGAGCCATGATGAGGGAAAGCAGTGACTTGACACCTAGCTTGGGCCCTCTTGCCACAGAGGGGCCAGCCGCACAGGCTCCACAGTTGCATCAGCTCAGTTAAGACGGTGGAAGGCGGGCTGGCCCAGGAGGCTGAGTCCTCACCACAGGGCCAGCCTGTGCGGGCAGGCACTTCCTTTGGGTGGCATATAATTACAGAATGGCTTATTTGCCTTCTGTTGTGCTGTCTTTAATCCCAGTCTGGAGTCAGTGCCCCTGGCCAGACACAACATGCGGGGGCAGATGCACACAGACAGCTCTGCAGGCAGCCTGGTCCGGGAGCATCTGCCACCCTCCAGTCCACTCCTCCTTACCTGGAGAGCAGCAGGGAACCTGGGGTGGGAAGAGGGCAAGAGAACAGCTGGAGGCTGGGCAGGTGAGGAGGTCCTGGGAATGGGCCTACCTGGAAGGAGGAACAGATGTCACGACAGCCACTTGCAGCCCAGGGGAGTCAGTGTCCTGAGTGTCTGGGTCTGGAGGCCTGGCTAATGGAGAGACGCCTCCCTGGCTCTCTGGCTGCTGCTGAGCCTTTTCTCTGCCTTGCTGGGGTCCTTGTTCCATAGTGAGGGTGTCCCAGGTGGTCCTGCAGCCCTGTGTGGTTTGCCCACCCCTCCCTCTTTTCTCCTTGCAGCCCCCTCTCCTGCGGGTGCAGCCCTTGCTTCTGCTGAACAGCCCTCCCTGCCTCCTGCATACTTCCTCACTTCATCATTTCTAGAGGTGTGGCCCAGGCACTTCCACCCTGTCCATCCTGGGGACTTTGTCATCTCACTGTGGAGAGGAAGCCCTGACACAAGCGGAAGCCTCAGTCCTAGGAAGAAGGGACAGTGTGAGGGGAGGTGTTAGGGGTCAGGGATTCTCACCTGGTTCCAGGTCCTCTTCTTCCCTTTCGGGGACGATCAGGCATCAATGCTCTGGCCCAGCCCAGTACATGTGAGAAGGCCCTTTGGCTCCTCTTCCCTTGTGTCTTCCTCCCCTAGAAACCCCTGAGGGCCTCTTTTCTTCCAGTTAGGGACTCCAGGAGGCCTCAGAGCAGACATTGGCCTCACCTGGCATTGATTTGTCCTGGCCCTGGCCTCTCAGAAGGCTCAGGATCCTGTGGAAGAGTGGTGGGTGCTTTGGAACACAGTGTTTACCCCTGCCCAGAGGCCATTTCCTCCTGAGCTGAAATAACCAGTTTATCTCCTCTGGTAGAAGCAGCGCTTATCTCCATGATCCACCAAAGACACCATGAAGAGCAGGATTAGGTGAAATTTAGGCAAAGGAGCTAGAAGCTTCAGTGCTTGCCACTCAGCCAAGGCAGCTAGGAGTTGACAGTGGGAACTCCACTCAGGTGCCTCCTGTGAGCCATGGGCATGGTACTGGGACACTACCCCTTAGGCCAGCCACCCCTCAATGCAGAGGAGGAGTGTGTCCTGTGAGCACTCAGGCCACCTGGCCAAGGAAGGGTGCCTACAGAGCTGGGCAGGGAAGAGGAAGTGCAGAAGGTGGACCAGCAAGCCAGATGATCTAGGAGGACTGACTTGTGGGTCACGGGAAGGCTGGGGGTGGCAGCCAGGGCAGCCCAGCCCCAAGTCCCTGTCCTGGTGCCTCTGGTCTAGGGATTCACTGCTCTTCTCCTAATGAAAACACACATCCAGGCTCTTTGTTCACACTGTTCCTCCAGGCGCTGCCTTTCTTGGGGCCAGCCTTTGTCCTAGAACCCTATAGCTAGAGACCTGAGATTCAGCCCGACACTGGCTTCACTGGCAGAAGTTTCTGTTCAGTAGGTCCAGGGTGGGGCATGATTTTTAAAAGGCCCAGGTGCCGCTGCTACAGATTTCAGGTTGACAGCCCCTGACTGAGGTGTCATTGGAATCAGTGATACTTTTTGGGCACTCGTTCATTCACTCATTCAGTCAGCAGATAGTCACTGAAGTGTGTGTGCCAGGCACCGTCATTCCTAGCTTGGTAGAGGGCGTGTTCAGAGGGAGGAATTCTGTACCTATTTTCAAGGAATTTGCAGTCTACTGGGAGAGCCAGACAGGTCAATCTATAACCACAGTTCTGTCAGACACAGGCTGAGAGCCAGGCTGCCATGGTGCCATTGGAGTACAATTGAAGCGCAGTTCCCCTTTGGGAAAATGTCCCAGAGGAGATGACATTTGAACTGTCTCGAAGAGGCAAGGATCATCTGGAGTAGGAAGCATGTCCATAAAGTCCATAAAGGAGTTCTGGAGGGTGGAGGCCTGCAGAAGGAATAGACAGGTGGGATGGGGGGTGGGGCTGGGAGGTCACAGTCCCCAAAGGCCTCACAGAGTAGGCCCAGGGGTCTGGATTGGATTTTAAAAGTAGAGGGGGTTCAGTCAATGGGGCACATGCTTGCCCTGTCTGAGATATTGCAGTGAGTTTGGAAACGGTAGAGACATGGGCTGGGAAGGGTTGGGCTGGGCAGAGGGAGGGGAAGGCCAGGGTCTGCGATACTTCAGAGGCCACTGGGTAGGCACTAGTGTGGGTGGATAGGAGAGGGCTGGGGTACAAGTTCAAGGTTTTGGATATACTGACTCCCATGCCCTGTGAAACAGCTCTGAGTCAGCTCAGTAGATGGGTCTACACTGAGAGTAGAGGTCAGACTGGGAGTTAAATGCAGGGTTGTAGGCAGTCTGGTGGCAAGAAGCCCACGACTGTGGCCCGGGATGCCTGGGAATGTAAAAGAGTTGGCAAGCTGCCCAGGATGGTCTGTGGTGTGGACATAGGGAAAAGAATGGCTAGAGGGGCTGGGGCAGTGGCTCAGCGGTAGAGCGCTCACCTAGCACGTGCAAGGCCCTGGGTTCGATCCTTAGCACCATATTAAAATGAATAAATAAAATAAAAAAGATATTATGTCTAACTAACTACAACTAAAAAATAAATATTAAAAAAAAATGAATGGCTAGAGTCCAAGGAGGGAGAAATGGGGACAGCCAGGTCTCAACAAGAAGGGGCCTTGGAACATGTCTAGTCCTCATGTCCTCTGGGACCAGCTTGGTCCATGCTACATTCCAGTCGGCCATGGAGACAGGAGCATGGTAGAATCTCTGCACTGTTGTTCCCCAGGGATGGCTACTTTTTTCCTGAGATTATGTCCTGCCCAATACTGAGTATTGCAAGACCTTGTCTTACAAAATAATGCTACTAGAGGTGGTAGGTTTTTCTTCATGTTATTCCTAAAAACCATGAAAAACTGGCATCTCTAGTTCAACCCCATTAAAAAAAAGTATATATTTTTCTGGCTGTGAAATCTAAAAGACTGGCACCCTGAGGTAAACTTGGAGATGGGCACCAAGAATATTCTGAGTGGGGCAGGAAGACCACACATGGCCGTGGGTTGAGGGTCCAGGGAAAAGTGAATTAGAAAACATTGACTAGCCCCACAGAATGGTGCACACCTGTAATCCCAGCACCTCTGGAGGCTGAGATGGGAGGACCACAAGTTTGAGGCCAGTCTCAGCAACTTAGTGAAACCATGACTCAAAATAAAAAATACAAATAATGGTAGAGCCCCTGGGTTTGATGCTCATTACCAAACCAAGCAAAACAAGACGGAAAACATGGAGTAGAGGAAGGTTTTTGGTTTGTTTTGTTAGCCAGGCTTTAAAGAGTAGAGTCCTGAGCTCCTGAACATTTTAAAATTTGGTGGTAGTTTGGCTATGGTTATACCCTGAGGGGCAAGAGCTGGTAGAGGAAAGGAAGTGAGGGTCAGAAGGGGGAGGGGTAGTGCGGGGACAGGTCCAGCCTGTGGTGGACAGTTCCATCTGGGCAGGGACCTGGGGCCTTGGAGGTGCTGAGTGCCTCCTTTTCCCCAGCAGGGCGAGCCCCCCGTGGCCCTGGGCCTCTCCACCTGGAAGGCCCTCAGTGTCCTAAAGGAGCAGCTGGAGGCTGTGCTGGAAGGACACCTCAAAGAGCAGAAGAAGTATCTAACCTGGAAGGTGAAGCTTCTTCACGGGTGGCCAGAGCCTGGGCGAGATGGCAGAAAAGGGTGGGGGGTGACTGTCTCAGGGTCACGGTGCACCCTGACTGCCTGGCGGGAGGAGACCACCCAACTAAGGCCTCATGAAAAATCAGAAGTGGGGGTGGGGTCCCTCTCAGCCAGGTCCTGACACCACTTGCTGTAGGAGCTGGCTGTGAGGTCAAGTGAATTAGACGGAGGTGGCCTTGGGGACCACAGGGGCTCAGGGCAGGGAAGGGCACCCAGATTGCAGCTGGATGGCCGGCCACTCAAGCCCAGCTGCCATGGCTCCCTAGGAGGCCTGGAGAAGCAGCTTCCTGCACCACAGTAACCGCTGCTCCTGTTTCCACTGGCCGGGTGCCTCACTTATGCTGCTGGCTGTGCTGCTGCTGCTGGGCTGCTATGGGGGCCAGCCGGCCGGGAGGTAAGTAGGGCCCTAGAGCCTCTGCCTCTGTCCTTCTCCATCCCCCTAGGGTGTCCCAGGGCTCTGAGGGGGCTGTCATCCCTGAGGCTGGGGAGGATAGAGGCTTCACTGGAGTCAAGAACCACGAGACCCTCTTTTCAGAAGGGACTGGGTAGAAAGGGGCATCCTGGGCCCTGGGGGTATCAGGGGGGCCCTTCCTGGAAATACACTGTACCCTCTGCATCCTCTACACCAGCCATGGGGTGGAGCTGGTGAATGCCTCTGCGCTGTTCCTGCTGCTGCTTCTCAACCTGGTTCTCATTGGGCGGCAAGATCGGCTGAAGCGCAGGGAGGTAGAGCGCAGGCTTCGGGGAATCATCGACCAAATTCAAGGTGAGACCAAGAGTCAGCCATGTCATTGGGAAAGATACCCTGGAGTGTGTCCCAGCCCTGAGAACTCTCCTAGGGTGGACAGTAGTCAGTATTCCAGGAGCTGCCATCTCTGGAGTTAGAGGATGCCCAACCCTCTCTTTTGCAGGGTGGTGAGGGCCCTGGAACAGCTGTGGGCACCCAGGCAGTGCCCTTGGTAGGCCGGAAGAGGTGTTGCCCTGGGCTTCTGGGCTTGTTAACATTGGGGTCTGACAGGAAAGACCCTAATGCTTACAGGAGGACAGTTGAGATGTTAGCCTTACCTGGTAGAACTGGGCCAGGGGAGGTGGGAAGGTGGACCAGGGAGGTTGAGATGCCCACAGGAGTCAGGGTTGGTGCAGGAAGGCAGTAGCCTAAAGTAAGCAGCCCAGTTCCTAAAGGAGAGGGGCATTGTTTGTCGTCTATCTGGAGTTTAAGCTCTAACTATAGATTGAGGGTTACATTAGGCTCTTTGGAGAGTCTGTGCTTTATGCTCTCCAGGGGCGCGTGGTGTCAGAGAAGCAGCCTCTGCTATTGGGAGGCCTTTTTCTGACAGTTCGGTCGTGTGTTGTACTGTCAGGGTAGGACAATGACCGAAAGGTAGGCCCTTCCCTCCAGGAGCATAGTCTCTTGCTTAGAAACCACCAGTAACTCCCTCTTGCTCCTCCCAGCCATCACAGATGCTGCCTGTGGCTTCTGTGCCTCTGCTGCAGGCTCTGCCCTTCCTGTCTAGCTTCTTCCCTTCCTTCTCTTCCTCCTGTTAAACCACTTACCCCTCCCAGACGCCTGTGTGCTGACCCATTATGTGCCTCTGTCCTGCTTTTCTCTGACTGGCGAGCATCTCCCTCACTCGTTTCCAACACAGAATTCATTCCTTCTTCCTCTTCTTGGAATCCATCTCCCATCATCCTGGCAGATAGGTTTTTCTCCCTTTCGTGCTCTGGAGGGGCTGGAATCTTTGTTAACACACTCGGCATGTATTTGCCTGCTTTGTAGTCCTTCACCCATGTGTTTCCTCCCACCACCACAGAAAGAGACCTCATACCCCTCTAGGTCCTCAGCAAAGTCTATAATGGTACAAAGAGTTCCAGGTGTGCACAGGGGCTGGCTGAAGGGTGAGAAAGTTGTTTTCCTCCTCCTATTCTCCTCAGATGCCCTCAGGGATAGCAAGGAAATCAAGTGGCCAAATGCCCTGTATCCAGACCTCCACATGCCCTTTGCCCCATCCTGGTCTCTGCACTGGGCCTACAGAGATGGACACCTCGTCAACCTGCCTGTTAGCCTGTTGGTGGAAGGTGACATCATAGCCCTGAGGCCTGGCCAGGAATCCTTCGCCTCTCTGAGGGGTATCAAGGTAGCTGTAGGCTGGTCTCCTTCATGGGAATTGCCACAGGCACATCTATAGGCAGTTGGGGTCCCAGGGCTCAACCCTTAAGATTGACAGCCACCTCATAGGCTTCACAAGGGCTCTCAGGCAGAGCTGAACCTCCTCTTCCTCCTCCTGATGTTCGTTCTCTCCCCAGTCCTTAAGCATCAGGGACCCAGCCCCCCAGGCTACACCCCAACAGGCTCTTTGCTAGTGGACAGCCCCTGACCTTGGGAGCCATGGCCATTTAGCTGGCATTGTCCAGGAGGAGTGGCATCTGTGAGAGCCCTTTCATTACCCACCTCCCTGTGCTGCTGGCAGGATGATGAGCACATTGTCCTGGAGCCAGGAGACCTGTTCCCTCCCTTCTCTCCCCCGCCCTCGCCCCGGGGAGAAGTGAAGAAAGGGCCACAGAACCCCCAGCAGCACCGGCTCTTCCGTGTCCTGGAGACCCCTGTGATTGACAACATCAGGTAACCATGCCACTGTCTCTTCCGCCTCTGCTTCCTCTCCCCAGTGCCTCCTGCGACAGGAGTGAACCTCGTGCATCCCAAGGCCTTCCCGAGAGCTGGTGTCTCCTCAGGCTCCTCCCCTTGATCTCTTGTGAGAATTCTTAGACTCGGTTGTGGCCATTCCCAGTCTCTTCTACGGGGACAGCTCCGGAAGCAGCCACAGGCCCCTCTCCCAAGGGGCCATTAGCCAGGGCCAGGGTAGAGTAGGGAACTGCAGGACTCGCTAGTGCTCAGGGAAGAAGCTCACTGGTGCTCTGGCTGAGAGGCCCAGAATCCTCTCAGGGTGCTGGTGTCTGGCCTCTCCCTTGAGCAGGGCTGAGGGTCACCTCTTTCTGCAGGTGGTGCCTGGACATGGCCCTGTCCCGCCCAGTCACTGCACTGGACAACGAGAGGTTCACAGTGCAGTCAGCAATGCTGCATTATGCTGTCCCCGTGGTCCTGGTGTGTGAGGCGGGGCTGTGGGGCAGGGAGAGGGCTGGACATGGGGGAGCCCGGGGCAGACCCAGGTGAGCATGTGAGTGCAGGCAGAGGGGCCCAGAGTGAGCCTGTGGTGTGAGTGAGGAAGGAAGGGAGCCAGAGCCCCTGGTCCCCAGGGGCGAGGGCTAAGCTGCAGCCCTCCTGTCCCCTCAGGCTGGCTTTCTCATCACCAATGCCCTGCGCTGCATGTTCAGTGCCCCTGGGGTCACCTCCTGGCAGTACACTCTCCTCCAGCTCCAGGCAAGGACGGCCCTTTCTTCTCTGTTGTGCTTCGGTGCTGTGGGGCCCAGTTCCCTCACAAGGCTCTGACTGTCCCTCCCTCTCTGCAGCCCAGGGTTTCCTCAGGCTTTTGCTTAAGAATTTTTCCTTCCCCTCCTTCCCTTCCCATCCCTGGACAGCTGTCCTTTCTACCCAAGGGATGGCCATATGGCAGGGCAGCCCTCCCTTCTTCCTCCCTCTGGCCAGCAGTTCCTTGGGAACTTCGGTGTGGTCCACTCCTTCCCAGGTGAATGGCATGCTGCCCATACTCCCGCTGCTTTTCCCAGTCCTCTGGGTCCTGGCGACTGCCTGTGGTGAAGCCCGCGTCTTGGCCCAGATGAGCAAGGCCTCGCCCAGCTCCCTGGTAGGTTATTTCTAGGCATCTGGGGACAGTGGCAGGCGAAAGAGAGAAGTGGCTATAGCAGAGAAGTGGGGCCAGAAGCTCAGCTCCACCTTTGGGCTCAGTGTGTTGGAGGTTCTGAGCAGCAACATGAGGGCTCCAGCCCCTTCCATTGCAGAAGGACCTCCAGACCAGGCCCCAGGGCGCAGTGATCTCCCCCTGGCTCCCACCAATGGCGAGTCAGGACTGCCCTGAAACCCCTTAGCAAGGGGGTTGGGAGCCTCGATGGCGTGGGTCTCCACTGCCTGCATGGAGGCCTGTGCAAAGGTAGCTTTTTCCACACTGAGGTTCGTCCCCTCCCCGTGCAGCTGGCCAAGTTCTCAGAGGACACTCTCAGCAGCTACACAGAAGCCGTCTCCTCGCAGGTACACTGACCATAATGGTTTGTCCCAGTCCCTTGCAGTCACAAGCTCTGGTGCCCTCAGGCTCCTTCCTGGAACCTTGGGACTCTATGACCTTGAGCCTCCAGCTGGGCTCTTGGAACTTCTCCGTACCCATCTACCTGTTGCATGTAGACATCACCCAGGCCTGGTCCCATGACACGTCCACATCTTGTCCCAGACTCCAACCTCCAGTGCTCCCCCTGACTCTTCCTGATTTGGGTCTTAGAGGCCATCTCCAGCGAAACAAGGCTGAGCCCCACGTAGCCTTGCAGACTTTTTCTCTCCCACCAGGAGATGCTGCGCTGCATTTGGGGCCATTTCCTGAGGGTGATTCAAGGGACATCACCAACACTGAGCCACAGTGCCAGCCTGCTGCATAGCCTGGGCTCTGTCACGGTGAGGGTGGCCCCGGAGGGAGGAGGTACCTGTCCTACCAGGCCTGCTGTCTGGCTAGGTACTTATGTGGCCCCTTGGGGGTGGGGTTGATGCCAAGTCCCCTTCTAGTACTGGCCTCTCTCCCTGCAGGTTCTATGCTGTGTAGACAAACAGGGGATCCTGTCATGGCCAAATCCTAGCCCAGAGACTGTGCTCTTCTTCAGTGGGAAGGTCGAGCCTCCTCATAGCAGCCATGAGGATCTTACAGATGACCTGTCCACCCGCTCCTTCTGCCATCCTGAGGTAGAGGAAGAGGTATGGATGGCTCCCACGGGCTCGACTGGGCCGGGCTTCTTAGTCATGGAGCCTGGCTGGTGGCCTTGGGAGGGTGAGGATTAGGAGGGAGAAGCTGGGTCCGGGACCTCTGGAAGCTGCTTCCAGGTGGTTAAGGTGAAGCCACAGGACAAGACAGTGAGGGGCCCGGAACCATCCTGCTTCAATGGGAGCCACTAGGACCCTGGTCCTAGGCCTGTGTCCCTGTTCTTCTCAGCCCCACGAACGAGATGCCCTCCTGACTGGCTCCCTGAGCAACACCCTGCACCTTTCCAATGAGCAGGAGCGCGGCGACTGGCCTGGTGATGGTCCCAAGCCCCCCGAGGCCTACTCTTACCACAAAGCACACGGCCGCAACAAACACCCATCTGGCTCCAATGTGAGCTTCAGCAGGGACACTGAGGGTGGCGAGGAAGGTCCTGGAAAGGTGAGGAGGGACACAGAGTAGAGAGGCCATCTCATCTGCTGCAGGCTTTCCTGGTCTCTCCTGCCAAAGGTGCACAGCCCAGCCTGGACTGTCAGGGTCTGAAAGAATGCAGAAGTTGCACACAGCCCCCTGTCTAAGGGCCCCTCAGCCTGCAGGATGGATGACCTCCTGAGGCCTCACCCAAGTCTCTTCTGTGAATTCCTTTTCCAGTTCTCTCTGATGGTCACCAGCCTCCTAATTAAAACCTTCTAAACACATAAAGCCATGGTGTCCTCTTGGATGTTGACCCATGACTGAAAAAGATCTCTATTGTTTCCTCCCTGTCTGGCTGTCCGCTACAGGGCTACCAGGGTCATCGAGTATAGATACTAAAGACAAACTGGAACTGAGAACAGGGAGAGGGTCTCAGGAAGGACAGGAGCATGTTAACAGCAGCACTTGGCCTAGGAATGTGCTTTCTTGCAGGGCCAGCTTTGAGCAGGGCCCACCCCACTCCCTGCCTGATGCTCCTCTTCTCCCATTCCTACAGGGCCACCCTGGCACAGAGGCCGAGCCCTATGAAGCAGAGGACTTCGTGTGTGACTACCACTTGGAGATGCTGAGCCTGTCCCAGGACCAGCAGAACCCCTCCTGCATCCAGTTTGATGACTCCAACTGGCAGCTCCACCTTACTTCTCTCAAGCCCCTGGGCCTCAACGTGCTGCTGAACCTGTGTAATGCCAGTGTCACTGAGCGCCTGTGTCGCTTCTCGGACCACCTGTGTCATGTTGCCCTGCAGGAGAGCCACCGCACTGTGTTGCCTGTGCACGTGCCCTGGGGCCTCTGCGAGCTGGCCCGCCTCATCGGTATGGTCCATGGTGGTGGCAGTGGGGCAGGGCTGGCTGGGTGTGCGCTGGCTTCTCCAAACAGGCTTGGCACAGACTCCGCACAGATGAGTTGTCGGAATGGCATTTGCTTGCCATGAGTACCAGCCGTTCTTTTAGATTCTGATGGTCCCACCTCAAGCATACAGCAGTGTGAGGCAGAGCTTCCTGGTGTGGGAAGATAACAGACTGTCAGGATGAAAGACTGAAGGACTGGCTGGACTGTCTGCTGGGCAGTGAGGCAGCAGGTGGAGCAAGCCTCTGCCCTGCGGCCCTGAATCCTAACGTTGTCCCTGCAGGCTTCACTCCAGGGGCCAAGGAACTCTTCAAGCAGGAAAACCACCTGGCGCTCTACCGCCTCCCCAGTGCTGAGACTGTGAAGGAGACCTTGCTAGGGCGGCCATCCTGTGTCACCAAGCGGCGCCCCCCACTCAGCCACATGATCAGCCTCTTCATCAAGGACACTGCCACCAGTGAGCCTCCCATCAGCTCAGCTGGCATCTATTTGAAAGTTCCAGAGCTTGGCGGGTGGAGTTTTCTACCCTGCTGAGTCCATTTTTAGGGAGGACTGGGATGATGAACGGTAGACCACTTCCTAAGTTCTCTAGTGTGGCAGAGATTAGGACTGGGAACCTCGGCCAAAGGACAGGAAGAATAGCATCTATATTACCAATTCAGTGGGTTTCATAGCGGCTTGCTGTCCGTGTGGCCTACAGGGGTCCCTCTTCTGTCATGGGCTCCTTAGGACTCTTCTCAAGGATGGCAGCATGCTACCTGTTGGGTCGGATGAAGCAGGGCCTGGCTTGGGGCCTTCATGTTTTGGCCTTTTTACCCCACCCTCAGGCACAGAGCAGATGCTATCCCATGGTACTGCTGATGTGGTCTTAGAAGCCTGCACAGACTTCTGGGATGGAGCTGACATCTACCCACTTTCAGGATCTGACAGGTGGGTGAGGAAGGAGTGTGGCCAGTCTATCTGCCCATCTCATGGACACGGGGCATCTTAAGACCACTCGCCTCATTCCACTCTGCTTCCCTGGCAGAAAGAAAGTGCTGGATTTCTACCAGCGAGCCTGCCTGTCTGGTTATTGCTCTGCCTTTGCCTACAAGCCCATGAACTGTGCCCTGTCCTCTCAGCTCAATGGCAAGTGCATTGAGCTGGTGCAGGTGCCTGGCCAGAGCAGCATCTTCACCATGTGCGAGCTGCCCAGCACCATCCCTATCAAGCAGAACACCCGCCGCAACAGCTGGAGCTCCGATGGTACCGCACACTTCCCTCCCAGTGGGGTGGCACTGGGGCTCCTGGTGGTGCCTCTGGAGGGCCATGGCATTGTTTGCTGCAAAAAGGGCCATGGGCACTGTTTGGGAGCTGGGATGCCAGTGTGGCACTCATTAGCTGGTGACATGGAGTGCCCCTTAGTTTTCTCTCTACAAATAGGTGCTTACTCTATCCTGTTTGTAGGTCTGTTGTGATTTCAAGGGGGTTACTATATATAAAAGTTATGGAAAGTTATGAAACTTTTCAAAAAGGTATGCATTATAGAGTGTTAGCCTTATTAAAACAGACAAAAGCTTAGGTCACAAACCCTACTGGAATCTAGGGTCTCAGGACTTACCACTTCTACCCCCAAGTACACACTTATGGGGTCTTAGAAACCCAGGAGGCCATGTACTGAAGCAGTTGCTAAGGGTGGGGCCAGCCCCCATCCTTGGAGTGGGGCTGTGCAGGAGCTCTGCCACATTCTACCTGGCTCTCGGGAAGGCCACCTGACTGATGAGTACCTTTCATTGTCTTTTCTCCTGTCTGTTGGCTCCTTATGCATCTTGGCTGTGTGTGTGTGGTCCCCTGGGGCCCACCTGCTCATTGATTTGGGTGTGGCATCTGTGCGTGTGGCCCCCGGCTGCCTCCTGGAATCTGCTGGTTCCTGGGTGTCCTGACTGGGTTCCTGGCATCCTGCCGCTTGTTTGCTGGTTTTGTATCTTGTTCCTGCCTGAAGAAGGGATCGGGGAGGTGCTGGAGAAGGAAGACTGCATGCAGGCCCTGAGCGGCCAGATCTTCATGGGCATGGTGTCCTCCCAGTACCAGGCCCGACTGGACATCGTGCGCCTCATCGATGGGCTGGTCAATGCCTGCATCCGCTTCGTCTACTTCTCTTTGGAGGATGAGCTCAAAAGCAAGGTGGGGAGAGACCTCTCCCTCTGCTGCCACTGACTCCTTTCCCCCATGGGCTTCCTCTGTTCATTTCATCTTCCTTTTTTAGGTGTTTGCAGAAAAGATGGGCCTGGAGACAGGCTGGAACTGCCACATCTCCCTCACACCCAATGGTGACATGCCTGGCTCTGAGATCCCTCCCTCCAGCCCCAGCCATGCAGGCTCCCTGCATGATGACCTGAATCAGGGTGAGGGCAAAAGCATGTGGTGGGGTCAGTGCGGGTGGAAGGCTTCCCTCCCAGGAGCTGCAGCTAGGAAGACCCTCCGTAGGTCTCTTCTGATTAGTACTCCCTTAGAAAATGGCCCCAAATGTCCTTGCAGGCAATAGCAGTGGGAGGAGAAGAGTGGAGACCTGGAGGCAGGAAGTTGTGTGCCATCTGCAGGGCAAGGGAGGGCCCTAGAAGGCTGGCCCAACGTTGAAGGACAGACTTTTGTCCCCCACAGTGTCCCGAGATGATGTGGAAGGGCTCCTCCTCATGGAAGAGGAGGGTCACTCCGACCTCATCAGCTTCCAGCCTACGGACAGTGACATCCCCAGCTTCCTGGAGGACTGCAACCGGGTACGGTAGCAGGATCTGCCCCTGCCTCCCCAGTGCCCTCTGAAGTGGCTTCATGGCTGGTCCAGGGGAGGGAGGGGCAGGCAGGTGAAGTGGAGGCACCTTGCTCCCCATCCTGAGGTTACTGGCCTCTTCGCTTCCTCCAGGCCAAGCTGCCCCGGGGCATCCACCAGGTGCGGCCTCACCTGCAGAACATTGACAATGTGCCCTTGCTGGTGCCCCTCTTCACTGACTGTACCCCTGAGAGTGAGTGCTGTGGCCCCTGCTGCTGAGCTCTGCCAGGGCTGAGCATCCATGGGCTCCAGAGGGGATGTGGGTTTCCCATGTGGGGCTGCGATTGCGGGGTAATCTAGTGGGCTGGCACTGTGGTTTGGCCATTCCAGGGAGCCAGAAGTGACAGTATTCATATGATCATGCTGCTGGGATGGGATTGTTCTAGAGAGGGGCCCACTTCCCATTGTTTCCTGCCTTTCTGGCCTGGGGGTCTCTGCTGGCACCTGCACAGGACTCCACCTGCCTGAATCTTGTGCATCCCACCTGTCCCCCAGCCATGTGTGAGATGATAAAGATCATGCAGGAGTATGGGGAGGTGACCTGCTGCCTGGGCAGCTCCGCCAACCTGAGGAACAGCTGCCTCTTCCTCCAAAGTGATGTCAGGTCAGAGCAAGACCCTAGGGCTGGTGGGCCAGCCTCTGCCTCTCAGATCTGGGACAGACCTGCATGGGACTTGGGGTATATCCAGTGGTTGATCTTGCATTGGCTGGGACCCAGGCACCTAGTTTGTGGTGGGAGAAGAGGGATGGGATGCTCAGTCCTGGGGGATATGGGATCTTCCCGAAATGAAGCTCATGGGTGGGCTTTTCCTACACTATGTAGCATTGCCCTGGATCCCCTGTACCCGTCCCGCTGTTCCTGGGAGACCTTTGGCTACGCCACCAGCACCAGCATGGCTCAGGCTTCCGATGGCCTTTCTCCCCTGCAGCTGTCAGGGCAGCTCAATAGCCTGCCCTGTTCCCTGACCTTTCGCCAGGAGGAAACCATCAGCATCATCAGGCTTATCGAGCAGGTGGGGGCTCAGACAGGTGGAAGGGGTAGGAGTACAGGGCTCCCCCGGGGCAGCCTGCTGGGAGGAGTTGCCACACAGGATATTTCAGGGCCCCCTGGCTTCATGCTCAGCTCTCAAAGAAAGTGAAACTCCCCCAGGCAGTTAAATTGGTCTCTGCTCCTTCTTTGCAGGAGCATCATGGCTTTGGGCTGAAGTTTGTCAGTTGTAGGGCCTGAGAGAGTTCAGGCAGGCTCAAGTCATAACCTATCCTTCTCGGTTCCTAGGCTCGGCATGCCACCTACGGCATCCGTAAATGCTTCCTCTTCCTGCTACAGTGCCAGCTGACCCTCGTGGTCATCCAGGTGAGCTGGGGCCAGGACAGACATTACCCCCTCCCCGTCTGCTCCTTTGTGGAAAGGCCAGTTGAGAATCTGAGGCGGGAAGCTGGGATGCAGAGCAGCCGAGGGGTCCCCAGATCTTCTGGGAAGCCCTTGGGCATTTGGAGTTGACTCTACTGGCAGGAAAGTGTGCTCTCCAGCCAGTTCCTCTTGGCAAGGGCACAAGCATCTCTCTGGGCAACAGGCATGGCAACCCTGGCGCCCCTCAGCTCTTATTAATTGTGGTTCCTGGGTTCTTTTCTTGGTCTAGTTCCTTTCATGCCTGGTCCAGCTGCCACCACTTCTGAGTACCACAGACATCCTGTGGCTATCCTGCTTTTGCTACCCTCTGCTCAGGTGAGAGGCCTTGCAGCCCCTCTGTGTCCAGCCAGGTAGGGCCAGGATATCATGGGCGTCCTAGGAGCACAGGGTGCTCAAAGCTCACCTCCTCTGGTGCAGGAGGCACTGAGGGAGTGCTCCTTTGCCTTCTCCCACCTCCTTACCAGACTTGACCTCACTCTCAAGACTCCCTAAAGGCTTTTTCTGTAAGAATTGGGGGACAGAGGTGACAGTCCCTGCCTCTTTACCACTCTTGCTTTTCAGCATCTCTCTGCTGGGGAAGCCACCCCATAGCTCCATCATGTCAATGGCTACAGGGAAAAACCTTCATTCCATTCCTAAGAAGGTAAACAAGGCAGACCTGACAAACCAGAACCTGTCATGGAGGAATGCAAGTGGCATGGAGTGGGCTGAAGGTTGGGGTCTGGGAGAGGGTTAAACCAGAGGCTTTGAGGTTGCGAGACCTAGAGAGTCAGCACCTGAGCTGGTAGTTGGAGCTGAGAAAGATCCTTGTTGGGGGTGCAGTCCCTGCTCTTTCTCCCCCAGCCTGTCCATTTGCTAAGAGCATTTTGAAGATGTGAGTCCCCTGCATGCTGGACCCACCATATGGCCAGAGGAAGGGCCACCCGCCAAGGGAATGACCTGCCTCCCTTCTCCTGCAGACCCAGCACTACTTCCTGCTCTGCTTCTTACTCAAGTTCAGCCTCACCATCAGCTCGTGTCTCATCTGCTTTGGCTTCACGCTGCAGAGCTTCTGTGACAGTGCCCAGGCCCGCAACCTCACCAACTGCTCCTCTATCATGATGCGCAGGTGGGTCCATGGGGCTTCCTCCCTCCCCACTCCAGCCCACTTCCCTGAGGCCCCACAGGAGGCTGAGCCCTTGTCTTCCTTTGGCAGTAACGACGAAAGGGCTCCAGCCTGGTTTGAGGACTTTGCCAACGGACTACTGTCAGCTCAGAAGCTCACAGCTGCTCTAATTGTCCTGCACACTGGTGAGGGCTCAGTTTAAAAGGAACAATTGACTGCTGAGTGGAGATGCCCTGATATGGGGGATAAGGCCTCGGACTAGTGGGGAGTCTGACGCCCCCATCGGCCCTTTTTCTCCAGTCTTCATCTCCATCACCCATGTGCATCGCACCAAGCCTCTGTGGAGAAAGAGCCCTTTGACAAACCTTTGGTGGGCCATGACAGTGCCTGTGGTGTGAGTAGTGCTGGATGGAGGGGGCCCTGGGTCCAGGGAGGGGCTTCTGTAGGGCTAGGATTGAGACCTCTCTAGGCCAGAGGTCTAACTGCCCTCCTTGAGCACTTAGGGCAGGTGGGGAAGGAAGCAGACAGCCCGGGTATCACATAGGGCTGCCTCCCCCTCCCATAGGCTGCTGGGTCAGGTGGTGCAGACAGCTGTGGACCTGCAGCTGTGGACACATAGGGATAGCCGCATCCACTTTGGTCTGGAGGATGTACCCCTGCTAACATGGCTCCTGGGCTGCCTGTCCCTAGTCCTTGTGGTGGTCACCAATGAGATTGTAAAGCTGCACGAGATTCGGTGAGCTGTCAGCAGGGCACCTCCCTTGGGGCTTCAGCATGTTGCCTAAACCTGTCACCCTCTTATCTGCATCCTTCCCTCCCTCCCTCCCTCTGGGGTCCTGCTCCATCTCCTGGTCTGAGGATCTATAACAATCTCCTGCCCCACCAGGGTCCGCGTCCGCTACCAGAAGCGACAGAAGCTACAGTTTGAAACCAAGCTGGGCATGAATTCTCCCTTCTGAGCCATTGGCCATAGCAGCCACCATTGCCCTGGTCCCTGGGGCAAAAGCCAGCCCATTCCTGAGTCTGAGGAATTGGTAAATGTTTCAGGGTTTGCTCTTGTGCCCTGTGGCATCGGAGGTCGAGCTCTGGTCCTTGGAGACACTGGCTTAATGAGGAGAAGTTAAGGAGTTGTGGCCTTGACCAGACAGGACCATCCTGGCTCTTCCCTGGCCGTGCCAGGGGCACTCTTGAATGTATGACCTCAGGCACTGGGTAGAGGGACTGTCAGTCCCACCTGGTGGGATGCCCTGCTTCAGGGTCCCCTGTCCCAGTGCCCTCTGCTCTTGCACTTATGGCTCAGCTTCAAAGCCATGGGCAAGGGCCTTAGCCTTTTTTGGAAGAGCAATGGCTGCTGCCGTTTGGCAATGCCACGCCCCCCTTGACCCCCCACATCTTGTCTTCCTGGGGTAAGGCCTGGGTGTGGCCCCGAGGACCTCTCCTCTAGAGGGGTCTCAGGCTTGGGCCTGAAGATGCAGAAGGGCCCCCACCTTGCCTGGAGCCTCTTTCTGTGCCTGCACTCAAATGCCTGTAAGTCAGTTTTGGGGGAGATGGCCCAGGTCTCTGTAGCCCCGCCCTTGTTCTCCTGGGAGATGTTTTTACTGGTGTATATTTTTTACTGGAAATGAACCTTTTAGGAATGAATGTAGGCTGGTTTATATTAAAACTTGTAAATTGCTTAAGAAAAACCTGTGGCTGGTCCATGAGGCAGCTACAAAAGGGTAGCCATGAAGTGGTCACCCCCAGGCTGCAGGCACTGAGCCCTGAAGGCGAGGACTCAAGCCTTCCTCAGGCAGGTGCTCCTAGAGCCAGCTCAGGGAAGACCCTGGACTTGGGTCCATGGCACAGATCCAGACAGACAGCCCAGTCATGTGGAATGACACTTTCATTGGTGTTAGTGAGGGAAAGGTTAATGGTTACAGAGCCAGGGCCTGGGCCAACTGAGTCGGGCCTCCAGTGCTGAGTTGGGCAGCAGGTGCCCCTGCTGTGGTCTGAAGGCCCTCCCACACTGCGTCCTCTCAGGCAGTTAATAGATAGAATAAATTCCATTTAAAATATATGCATTTCTCTCTGCTTAAAAAATAACATTTACAGTTGAAAAAGTCTGGACACTGGGGATCTGTTAATCCCATTGCTTCCTAACCCTGCTAATACTGTCTCCCAGTGAGGGATGGCAGGAGCAAGGACAGGAGCTGGTCAGAACATGGCCAACCATGAGGGCATGCCCCGTTGGGTATTTACATGTCCTATGTACACAGGCAGGGAGGGGGCCCAGCCAGGCACACTGCCCCACCCAGGGCAGCACATGGGTGGACAGAGGCATCCCCTCAGCACAGGAACTTGAAACATAGGGTGGGAGTACAGAGACGGCACCCCCGAAACCCTGCCACCACCTCCTCCTTGAGGAGAAAGCTCTTAGCAGGGTTCCCATCCAGTCAGATTATACATGGGAGGGGGCTCTGACGAGACGCAGCCGAGACCCCTCCGCTAGTCAGGTTCTGATGAGGCCCCCGGCCCCTCCCCAGGGCTGCCCCACAGCATTCACAGCTGTGTTGGGAGCAGCAGGGAGGGGCTCTGCTGGGGCAGGATACTCCAGCCTGACCAGTCCTAGGCCTCTGCCTAGGGTGGCCAGCCCTTTTCCGTGCTGGGCCAAAGGTAGTGAATGTGACAGGTCACAGTGGGCACCACTGGAGGACCACAGGCAGGTCTTGCTCAATCCAGCATGGCATCCAGCTGGTCAGCCAGGGCATCAAACATGGTGCTGATGTCATCCAGAATGTGCTTGGTGGAGGTCACCGGGGGACTGCAGCAAGGGAAAGGGCTGGATCAGAGGGGCCAGAGGCCTGCAGCCCACTGGCCCTGGGTAGGAGCTGCCACTGAGCCACTGATGGGTGCCAGGCACTCAGTGCGCATCACCTCTTAATGCTCAAAACATCCTGGGCAGCAGGAGTTCTTTCCTTACAGATGGTTTTTCTGAAGCTGGGGGTTGAGGGACTTGCCCAAGCTCTCATCCCCCTAAGGAGGCAATCACCAGGAATCCCTTCAGATCAGATCTGGGTGACTCTAAAACCTGAGGTCCTGCCATCCTATTGGAGGGCTCCCCAGCTTGAGGCTCTGCCTGCAACATCCCCCTGTGATAGTCCCAGGACCCATGTTCTATGCCCACCCTTTTCTCCCACCCCATCTGACAGCCAGCATCCTTACCCTTCTCGCTCCTCAGCACCAATGCTCTTCTCTGCAGCCCTTAGTGCAGCTGCCAGGGATGAGCTGGTCTGCTCCAGTCTCTGCTGGGCCCGGCCTGAGCCCACAGCCCCTGTGCTCTCTGGCCTTGGTGGGGGCACTGGGCGAGGGCCCAGGCGGGGAGCCAGCTTTGGGCCAGAGAATGCGAGCTGGGTGCAGGCCACAGACACAGGTTTGGGGGCTGTTCCTGTAGACAAAAAAGTTGGCGGGTGACTCATCTGGGTTGAAATGTCCCCTGTACACAGCATACCACCCCTACAGGCTTCAGCTTCCTACCTGCTCCAGGCACCTTGAGGAAGGCAGCAGGGGCAGTGGGGGGCTCCATCTCCACATTCTGCCTACCACCCGCTGAATTTTCCAGACTTGGCCCAGTGCAGGGCACTGGGGGGACGGGGGGCTGTGTTATGGGGCTTGGAGGAGTGGCTGGAGCTCCTTGATGTGAAAGGCTGCTGGAGTCAGGCCGTGACGGGTTAGAGGAAGTGGAGGTGGGGGACTCACTAGGAGCCTTGGAGGGCAGGGGAGCAGAGGGGCTAGGGGTGGCTCCTGCCACCCCAAAGGCTAGCAGTGCTGTTTGCAGTGGCTCTCTTTCCCTGCATTTGGGCCTCCGCTTGACAGTGTCTGACTCTGTGAGGTTGAAATCGAGGCCAGGGGGCACAGGCGTCTCCCGGGATGGGGGGCCAGCTGGCTTCGGCCGCTGCTTGATAGTAAGATTTCCCTCTTCTGCAAACGGCAGCCCTTCCCCTGAGCTGCCCCGAGATGGGGGTGTCCCCTCAGGGCCAGGCTCTTCTTCCTCCGTGTCTGACGCAGGGCCAGATGAGACGGGCAGACCAGGAGACTCAGAGGGGCCAGCTGGTTCACTCAGTGTTCGCCTTCGGGGCCCCACAGCACTCTCCTTGGACCCTGAGCTCCCTTCTAGTGGAGGTGGCTCTGAGGGGCCAGAGACTGAGCTGAGGCGCTTGGGGGGTGGGGGTGGAGGGCCTTTGCGACGGGCACGAAGAGCAAAGGACTGGCTGCGGGGAGCCCCTCGAGATGGGGTTGGGGTAGGACTGGTCCGGGCGAGGGTGCTGCGTCCTGGTCGCCGGGTAAGGGTGGCATAACTGCCCAAGGTGCTGCCCACTGGGCCTTCGGTCTCCCCCTCAGCTTCTCCCTCTGCAGGGCCGGGGCGGCTCAGGCTGTGAGACCTGCGCTTGGGCCGAGGTGGGTCTGGAGGAGTGGCAGGGGGGCCGGCCAAATAGGAGAAGGCTCGGGGTGCACCAGGAGGTGGCCCTGCAGCTGGGCTAGAGGGTGAGCCCTGGGGGTACATGAAAACATAAGGGGCAGGTCCTTGGCCAGGAAGTGGGGAGCAGAGCTTAGAGGGCCGCTCGGTGCCCTCTGGAAGGTTCCTTTCCTGTAAGGCACTAGGGTCTCCACCACTGGGCTGAGGGGCAGGCTGCTCCTGAGAGTGACCAGACCCCCGTGAGCGTGCGCCAATGCTCTCCTGGCTGGAGGAGCGGGCAGGGGGCAGGGGGAGTGGCTCAGGACCACCCCCTGCCATGGCTGCTTGCAGCTCTGGGCTCAGCTCACTGCCCTGAAAAGTGAGAAGGCGTGGGCCAGCCACAGCTGGACCCTCCCCATTCTCTAGCCCCTCAATGGCCATCAGCTCCGGACCCCTGGCCAGCCGATGCCCACCCTCACCCAGGACCTCCCCCTGTAGCAGGCCCCGCCGAAGCTCTGCCAGCCGCTTCACACCCAGCATAAGCTTCTTCTGATGCCCTGGGAGGGGTGGACAGAAGGAATGAGGTTAGCTGGGTCTAGGATGGGTCACTCCCACCTCCCCAGACCCCATTCTCTGTTCTCTCAGAGACCCTGAAGGCATGGGGGAGGGGCCCAAGCAGAAGGCCTCAGAGCGGTCCTCACCCAGCTTGTTGACGCCAATCTCCTGCAGCTCCTCCCAGGTGAGGTCGGCCACCAGCCCCATGGAGTCATAGCCACTGCTCACCAGCTGCTTGTGGTACTGCGGCAACCCCAGTGCACACAGCCACTCCAGCAGGTCCGTCTGGAAGAGCACTGTCATCAGATCTTGCTTCCCACCCAAGCCAGCAAGGGAGGGGCACCACAAAACCATAGCCCCAAGTGAGAGCCCCAGCACCCAGCCCAGCAGCCGGCTCACCGGGATGTAGTTGGGCAGCCACTCGGCAATGCTAAGCTGGGCGATCTCTGAGGCGATCTTCTTCCTGTGCCCAGGCTTGGTCACCCCGATGGCGGTCAGATCCTGCCACACAGGACACGGGTGTCAGGCTCCTCCTCTGCCTGCTGGGCCCTCCCTTACCTGGCTGCAGCACCCACCTCAGGTGTCATGCGACTAATGGTTGGCACATCATAGCCAGCCTGCAGAAAGTGGGCAGTGTAGCCCTCCAGCTGGAACTCACTCAGCCAGTTGTGAATGGCCTGTGCATCCTGTTGGGGTTGGGGAGGGGACACAGCAGGAGCTGAGTCTGCTGAGCAGCTCAGCCTCCCCCAGGGGCTGAGCTTAAGTCCATAGAAGGCCCTCCATCTCCTCTACTCACCCCCTCAAGGCCCACAGCGTACCCCCAGCAGAGGTCTCACCTTCCCCTCTAGCAGCTGTTCTGGCCTCACATCTTGGGTGAAGATCTCCCCAGAGCGGTAGCTGGCCAGAGGGAGGTGGCTCAGGTTGTCTTTGAGAAAGGAGAGTAATGGCATCAAGTGGCGGAAGGAAGGGGTGGCAAGCCCTTAGCCTCCCCACCTGCATCTCTCCTAGCCATCCCTGGTCCCATCAAGCCTTCCTACCTGCCAGGGACGGTGTGTGCAGTCCTGACAGCACCTGGTCCTCCCCTGCAGAGGGCAGTGGCTGGAGACAGGGAAAGAACCCACTCAGCATGTGGAGAATTGCAGTGGGGCTAGACCCTGCCCTGGTCCCAGTGCCCTCACTCCTACCTGGGCATTCTCAATAAGGAGGCCGGTGCCATGGCCGTTGGTGCCCTCAGAACTCTGCCCGCTGCCAGCACTGCGGATACTGCCCACACTGCCCTCGCTGCCCACACTATTCCTGTCACCTGCTGTAAAGGGCAGAAGGACAGAGGTCAGAGCCTCAGTTGGTACTGCTAACAGCTGACTGGCAACTTGCTAAAGCCAGACGCCCCCACCAGTGCCTGGTGCCACCCTCTGGGAGAATGTACCTGGGCTGTCTGGGCTGAGGCCCACCCGAGGAAGCTGGCCATAGGTAAGAGGGTGTAGGGAGTCGTCAGTAGGAGGCTGCGTTGTCCGGGAGAAGCCTGGGCGCAGTGGGGTAGGTGCGGAGGGGAGACGGGGCACAGGGATGCCCACCCGCTTGCTGACCACTTCCACGATGCCTGGGGGAAAGTAGCCTACACGGTCCGTGCCCCTTTGGCTCTCATGGATGTGGCCCTTCCAGCGGCCATCAGGATGCTGTTCAAGCACCTGTGACAGGTTGTAGGGGGAAGGGATGATGACTCCCCACATCAAGCTATTCTTGCCACCGTCCAACAGCCCGGGGGTCCAGCTCTTCCCCTACTCTCAGGGCACTCGCCTTTGATATCCAAGCCAGCCCAAGTTTGGCTCCTGTGTTCAGCAGGCACTCAATGCCCTTGTGCCACAGAGCTTAGAGACAGAGGACCAGAGAGAGCCTGTGCTCTAATCCTAGCTTGCTACTTGCCAGCTGTGGGACCTTGGGCAAGTCACTTAATCTTTAAGCCTCAATTTTGTCATCTTTAAAAAAGAAATGATGATGGGGCCTACCCTCCCCAGATTTGGAAAGAAAGAAGTAAGGGAGCAGACAGAGACCTAACACAGCCTGATATCACAGGTAAGTCACAGCAAACATTCATATTCTCAAAGCAATGCCTGTCGGGCCCCTCACCGTGATGACATCCCCCGCTCGGACATTGAGAGCAGTGGGGTCATGGAGATTCCAGAAATCCTTGAGTGCTCGGACCTTCAGGATCCCTGAGGCCTCTAAGAGAAAAGGGAGGGCAGGCATCATCTAAAGGTCCTTTGGCCATCTCCCTACCACCCCACCCACTCACAGCTTCCCCGGGAGACACCCACTCCTCTTCCTCATCCTGGTACCTACTAAATGGCTCCAGCCCTTGGCTGGGTCTTCTCCCACACACTCACCCCGAAGTAGCTGCTTGATTTCCCGGCTGGCCTGAGAGGTGGTGAACTGATTCACAATGTCCAGTGCCGTCTGGTTATACGTGTTCCGGATGTTCACATCCACACCTCCCTAGGTAAACAGTGGCAGGAGCTCATGCTAAGCACCTGTCATCTCTGCCCTAGTCCTCACTATCACCCAGGAGGTGGGTGCTGTTGTCATTTTCAGACCTTATAGGTGAGGAAGGAGGATTTCAGACCAGGCCAGGGACGAGCTAGCAAGAGGCATGCTTAGGTTCCAACCAGGTGGAGCTGCTCTTGGGCCTTAGGACCACTCAGAAAGCCGGGCCTCTTTCCCGCCATCCAAACAAAGCAAATCACCCTGGCTTCCCCGCCTGGTCTCAGCACATGACAGAGGCTCCACACACACCTGTGGAGTGACCAGGTGCCATACTCACCTCGAGGAGCAGCCGAACCACCTCAGTCTTGCCATACAGCGCAGCCTCGTGGAGTGCTGTGCCTGTCTTGGTCTGGCGGTTGATTTCAATCCCAGCTCTTAAGAGCTGCCTGTGGTGGGCAGAGGGAATCAGGGGTAGCGGGTCAGGGGAGAAAGCCAACTGCCGGGAACTAGGAGATGGAGCATGGGTGAAGATGGCAGCAGGGAGGCACGGAGGGGGCACCGATGGTCCCACAGGAAGGGGATGAAGAAGTTGTGGGGGGGGTCACTGTGGGTACCTGATGACTTCTCTGTGGCCATTCTTGGCAGCCAAGTGCAGGGGTGTGGTGTAGTTGGGGTCACATGGGTCCTTGGCCTCACCCTCCAGCAGCGCCACACATAAGTGGCTGTTCAGTAGCAGCTGGGTCACCTGCAGCATGCAGCACCCAGCACCCAGTTGGAACCTCTCCTGAGACCCACAGACACAGGCACTCAGAGCCCCCAGGACTATAGGCCTTACCTTGAGCCTCCCAAATTCACAGGCCAGGTCCAGGGGCGTCTTCTTGGCCTTGTTGACCAGGCATGGGTTGGACTGATGCTGGAGGAGCATTTCTGACTGGGGTGGGGAGAGCCAAGTGAGGGGGCGTGGCCTGGCTGGCCTCTGACCTCCTAGCTTCCCCGCCCAGCATCCCTAAAGCAGGCTCACATACCACCTCATAGTGTCCATATTGTGCAGCCAGGTGCAGAGGGATCTGCCCGTCCAGCGAGGCGGCATTAACAGCTGCAGAGGCGCGCAGCAGTAGCCGGACGGGCTCCAGCCGGCCCTGCCAGGCTGCATAGTGCAGTGGGCGCATACCTGGCAGGAGGAAGGGCTCTGAGGGAGATCCTGGGATGGCGTTGGGGTTTGAGGGACTTAAGCAGATTGCAGAGCCACCCAGCTGGGAGGGGAGACAGCCCAAAAAGGTGCGGATACTGGCTTAACCCAGATTTGGTCAGGAAGAAATCCAGTTGCATGGGTCCCAAGCCAGAGTCCATCATGGCCACTACAGGTAATCTGGCAACCACAGGCCAGTGACGTGAGTAACCTTTCTGAGCCTCAACCTCTTCATCTGAATATCAAGACATGAGTGCCACTCTCTACTCCCAGAAGGCTACAAAGAGGGAAAGCCATTTGCAAGCCCAGAGAAGCTTTGGGAACACCTAAATAGCATTGCTATGTCCTAACAAGAGCAAGCTCTGGTCAGAGGTCTGGGTTGAGCCTCTACCTTCACCAGGCGGGGACACACTGCAGTCTCACCATTGCTGTCCTTGATGTCAACAGTGGCCTGAGCCTCCAGCAACAAGGCTATGAGCTCCAGGCTACCTCCCAGAGCGGCATGGTGGAGAGCAGAGAATCTGGCATGGGGGGAACACAAAGTAGGGGATGTCAGTAAGCAGTCTTCCATCCCCAAATCCTGGCCTGCCACACCCAAACTCATCCTGAGGCCTGGCAGGGATGGGTTACTTGCACCCCCACTCCTGCCAGCCCTGCCGTGGGAGCGCACAGCAGCCGAGCCGTAGCATGAAAGGGCTCAGTGTCTGGGCTGAGTGGCCTGTTTGTCTGGCATCCCCCCCCAGCCAGCCTAGGGGAGGGGGCCGTGGGAGCAGGAGCCCTCAGGCTCCTACCCTCCAGGGAGAAAAGGGGCCCAGGAGGAATCCAACTCAAGGAAACCCCTCAGAGAGGCCTCAGGCCCCTCCCCTTGCTCAGGGCTAACCTACTGAAGGGTGGGTGGGAAGGACCCCCACACTCTGCTCTACACAGGCAGGACCCAGAGCTCTCAGCAAATATGCTTCAAGGGTCAAGTTTAAGAGAGGAAAGGATTCTGGAGTCCAGGACCTTTCCCGTCCAGCCCTCCCGTCACTCAGCATCTCTTACTCACCCATCAGCATCCTGGTAGTTGACATTGAGCCTCTTCGTGGAGCCGAGGAGCTCTGGGGGTCAGGGCAGGGGCATCAGGGAACATGCAACCATCTGACCTCACCCATCCCTCACCCAGTGCTGCCACAACCCCAACTCCCAGAGCCCAGCTGACCTCTTGGTGTGCAGGAAAACACCTGCCCCATGGCCCTTCACTGGTCCTGGCCTGTGGCTCCTCACTCTGGCCCACAAGCTAGCAGCTTGGAGGCATCAAGTGCAGGGAACCACTGCAATGGTGGCCTGGCTCCCGGGGCCCAGCCCAGCTGGTTTATAGACCCAAAGGGGGCGGGAGGGGACACTGGCACGACGTGCCCTCAACAGACAGGCCCACGGAGCGCATGGTTAGCATTCCTGTCTGAAGGGCTAGGGAGCAAGTCACATTGTCCCGCTGGGCCAAAACAGTGGGTGAGGAAGAGAATAGAGAAGGACCAGGGCAGGGCTCAAGGGATATACTGCCCACCCCTGCAGCATCCCAAGGTGGAGCTTAGTAGGGAAGGTGGCTATGTTCTGTAATAGCCCTGGCTCTGCCTCGTGCTAGCTGTGAGTATGGGCAGTCATTTAACTTTCCGGGCTCAGTGTCCTCTTACGTAAAATGGGCCATCACTGAACCTGCTCACTCTGCACTCTACACATTGGCCATTACTAGCACCATGCTATCCTCTAGCAAGAGCAGCACCATCTCCCATCTGTCCCCTGGATCTCAGAGGGTTCTGTGCCAGCTTGAGTGGCATCCTTTGACTCGCCCCCCTCAGGCTCTTGACTGAGCTGTCCAGCCCCAGGCAGAGGGGCTGAGACCCTGCCTCCCCAGGACAGGGTGCATGCAGGTGAGGTTCTCAGGCAGCCAGGACACAGTGGGGGCGGTCCTTGAAGTGTTGGGGAGGGAAAGGGGAAGGCCTGTCACAGGAGGCCTGAGCCTCCTGCTGGAACCCACCCCTACTGCGAAGGAGGGGGCCTGCCCACCCGGGCTGGGCAGAGTGCCAAGCATGCTGGTCCAGGCCTGCCCCCCAGGCCCTGGTGGGCCCCTGAATACCCCAGCAGCCTGGGCAAGGCAGGGCCTCATTCCAAAAGGGAGGGACCAATCCTGCAGTGAGAAGCAAGAGATGGGGAGGGAGGGGATAGTCACATGGAGGGCTGAGCTGAAGGACTGCACCAAAAAGGTAAATACAGAGCCAAGGAGTAACAGTGCAGAGATGGGGGCCTTCCAGATTTTCTCTAGTCCCTTTGCAAAGACCTTGTCACACAGAACCATTTGGGGCGAGGGAAGGTACAACAGCTTGAGAAGCAGCAAGCGCAGGACTCCCATGCTCACTCTGCCTCTGGCTGGCTGGGGGACCTGGGCCAGCTATGGCGCCTCTCTGAGCCTCAGTGAAGACAATGAGGGCAGCAGGGAAGACACAGTCCTTTGGCCCACCCACCCTTCCACCAGCCTGCCAGCCTGGCCAATCTGGGATGGGCAGCTGGGTGGCTGGATGTGGCCCCTCCAGGGAGGGGCAGGACAATGTGACAGGAGGGACACAGGAACAGGGGCAGGGCCAGGCTGGGTGGCTCCCTTCTTTTCAGAACAATGGCCGGAAAGGTGGTAGGGGAGAGGCTCAAAGTGACTGGGCTAGGGGCTCAGCCGGAGGGTGGAGGGTCCTGGTTCCTGGCAGTGGCTCAGGCACTTCCGCTGCCACACAGCCTTCTTCCCGAGCCTGGCTCAGGGTGGAGGGGATGTGAGCTCAGTCAGTCACACCAGCCCACTCCGTTTCCTCTGGCCACAGAAGGAGATGTCAGAAAAATGAGGCAGGGAGGGACGGGGGCAGGAACAGGGGCAAGGCCATGGCAAACGCACCTTCTCCTGCCAGCCACCTGCAACTTGAAGAGCATCAGGTGGGGGAAAGAATGCAGGCCAGACAGCAGATGTAGGAGGCGGAAGGAGGACATCTCTTCTGCTCTCTTTTGATAGCCAGAAAGCTCTGGCCATCCCCACAGGAGGGAAAAAGGGAGCCCTGACACTTCCCTTCCTAGAGTGGCAGTTTAGTTAGCCTCTCTGTGGCATGGAACAGGAGTTTCCCCTCTCCCCTTATCAGAAAGGCATTAGAATCACCTGGAGAACTTTCTGGTTTGTAGAGTCCTGGCCTTTCTGGCGAGTTCAATGGGGGTGGGGTGTCCAGGGAATCTGTACTTTTAGAACAATCCCCGTGAAATGCTGATGAGCACAGAAATCCACTATCAGTGAGGGAGCATGGGGTGGTGGGGCACGGAACTCAGCACAGGTTTGGCACAGGTTTATCTCAGATCCATCTCAGATCCGCCCCACAATGGCTATGTGACCTTGAGTAAGTCACTAACCTTTGAGTGTCACTTTCCTTACCTGTACAACAGATATAAAAACACCAGCTCACAGGGAAGTGAGAGGACCACAATTTTTCATAAACTGGAAGGTCTGCCAAGGTCACCTTATGATCTCACTTCTGTTGCCAGTTTCTCCAACTTCTCAGAGGACAGGGAAGGGAAGCACGTGGCCAGGACTTCACAAGGAATTCCAGGCCCTTGTTACCTATGTCCACACCTGTACCTGTGTATTTCCTCTTTGGACTGAGTGAAGGGACCTCTTCCCCTACACACGTTTCCCTCTGGGCATATGGAGCCTAGGAGCCTGGCTTTGAAGTTCCTGCCACCTGTCCCTGGACCTCGCCCACCATCCTCCCATGGGCCTCACTTTGAGGTCCCAGGGATGTGAGGACAGCAGGAGTATGACCAAAGCCCCACTGGGCAGGTCGCCCAAACACAGAGGTAAGGGAAGAGGAGGAGTGGCTCCCACTCTTCGGCTGCGCAGGGACCTCCACAGCCCCTTCCTCTATTACATTCACCCTGCACCCACCTCTCCAGGGACAGGAACCATCACCCCTGGCACCATCGCTTCCTGCCCAGGCCTCCACCCTGCTGTGCAGGCGGGTACACACTAGTAAAATCCCTCTCCTGGCACTCATACTCAGGGGTGAGAATGGTATAAAATCTCCAGGCATAGGGATTCCTTCCTGTGCCCAGGACCCAGGTGTGGCTTGGTCTAAAGCTCCAGCACTTCAGGGGAGACCCCCCCTCCAGTAACTCCATATCCAGACCCAGTCTGGTGGCAGGAACCACCAGCTATCCCTGCTCATCTAGGACCTCCAGGACATAAGTCCAGTGGCCTCCTGGGACAACCCAGAGAGCTCACCCTAAAGGCCAGAGGTCTATTCTCCCTGGGGGTGTCACCACAGAGGGACCCAAGAGATGGGGTTCAGGTGTGGCCACCCAGGCCTCAGCCCCCCCCCCAGCCCTGTCAGAACTAGAGCCTCCAGACCATGGAAACCTCTAGAAAATTAGCTGCATACTTTCAGGGGTCACAGATGAGTTAGTGGAAAAGAGGTTCTTTAGTAAGTGGTCAGATTGTGTTGAAAGTAAGGAACCCCCCCCAGAAATTTAGACATAAACACAGAGAGGTTCTAGTTGAGTGTACGCAGGATTGACAGTGGGCATGGAGCTCTACCCATTCAATCTTTCCGGACACATACCCAGAAACCCCGTGGTGCCAAAGACATCCAAAAGCCACCAGCTAGTAGACAACACCATGAGGGCTGGAAATTTGGTCTGTTGTGTTCACTAATCTGGCCCAGGGCTTGTAACAGAGCCTGACACACAATAGGCACTCAATAAAAATTTGAATGAATGTACTTCCATCTTTTCTCCTGGCAAGCAAGGAAACTGGCCCAGAGAAGTTAAGTGACTCACTTAGGAACACACAGCAAAGGGGATCCAATTCCTTTAGCTCTCCCAGACAGAGGCACTTCTTGTCCAGAAAAGGACCATTGTCTTTCCTTAAGTTCACAGAACCCAGTGACCACCCCGCTCCCTATCCTCCTTCTGTAGCTTCAGCACTCAAGGGAGGGCCCCAGCTGGTTGGTCACCCCACCAAGTACTCACTTGTCTTTGAGGCCTTAACCTTGGCCACCAGTTTCTGTACACCAGTCACATCTCCGTTCTTGACAGCAAGGATCAGGTCCTGTTCACGACCCATTCTGATCCTCAGGCTGGGCTCTAGGCTCAGGAGTCCAGGGCAAAGACAGGGAAATGTGTCCAAGCCAAGTGTCAGTAAGCCATGCCTCAGCCCCTGGAAGGGCTTCTAGTCCTGGGGCACGTTTGGTGTCCCAGGAAGTGGGCTCCTTGTCGGGCGCTGATGGATGCTCCCTTAATGTGCTCCGTGAGCTGCCACCATAAGCAGGAAAGCCAGTCTTGGAGGGGGTGGAGGCTGTGTTGAAATGTGCACAGATATCAGCCTGCAGCTTCTGACAGCCCGGGGATGGGCTGGGACCAGGCACGCCGAGCTTCCCAGCTTGGCTCAGGAGCAGCCAGCATTCCCTCAGGCAGCAGTGGTGGCCAGGTCGTGGAGGTCTGAAAACAGTGCAGTACCTCTGCTGAAGGTTGGGCCAGAGCCTGCAAGTGAGAAGCAGGGCACCAGGATGAGCAAGATGACCTCTAGGGAGTCCCCAAACCACCCTGCGAGTTAAGGAGTCCCTCAAAGGGGAGAGGGAACTGCCATGCCTGAGAGGAGTATGTACAGAGGGGAGGTGGTATCCTGTGAGGGGGAGGCTGAGTCATGGGGGCCCCAGGGCACTAAGTAGTACCTCAGCCTTGGGCAAGAGGGGCCCTGGCAACACGACACACTGGAGCAGGCCAGGCTAGAAGCCCGTTCTCCACAGCCCCAGGCTGTGACACCCACAGACAACTGGGGCCAGGAGGTGGGGCCTAGGAGGGTGGCACAGGCAGACGGGCAGGGGTCACTCCCTGTCCAAGGCGCCTGCCCCCAGACTCCTCCCTACCTAGGCTTCACTTTAATAGCTGGATGCTTTAGCCCGAGGGCTCTTTATGAATTGAGGGGGTGGAATGGGGAGCTTATGGATCCCATTTCTGGGGGCATCTACACAGGGAAGCTCACAGCACCTGTTGCTGACCCTTCCTCACTCTATGTGGGGTGAGCAAAGGAGAGAGACAGAGCTGGGGCACCGATGGCCGACGGCTCCCCAAGCCTGAACCTGAAGCCCAGACCCTCGACTTCACTGCAAAAAGGCTTACGTCAGTTCCTCGGTGGCGGCGAATTTTTGCCAGAGTCTTGTGGCATGAGACCCGAGCAGGCCTGGGGCCCTGGAGGGGTACCACTCACTCCCCAAATGTCTCAAGCCCAACTTAAAGGGCACTCCCCCCACACAGGGCCGGCGGCCGATACTGGGGGAGGGCGCCCCTGGCAGTGCCTGGGGTCGGGCTGGCTCCCCCGCCCCTCGGAATGCCCTTCCAGCGCCGCGCAACCCCCAGCCGAGCCCAGCCCAGGCCGACCCGGGGAACAAAGCGGCGGGAGGGACCCGGAGGGCCGAGCGCTGGAGGGGTAGATGCCGGAGGACGAAAAAGGGGGCGCGAGGAGGAAGGAAGGAACGGAGAGATGGAGGCGCCCGCGGATCCCGCAAGAAAAGTTAGTTTGCGCCGACTCTCAAGGGTGCTGGCCCCCAGCTCAGACCCCGCAGTCTCACCTCTCCCGGGCGCCCCGCCGGGGTCCAGTGGGCTCCGCTCGGTGTCTGCCACTCCGGACGCTGGCTCCTACTGCCCCCCTGCGCCGCAACCCTTTCTCCTCCTCCTTTTCCAAGGCCGGCTCTGCACCTCCCGCAGGAAATCCCGCCCCTCCCCCCTCCCTCCCGCCGGATCGGGAGAGGGACCGTCCCGGCCGCGCAGTCGAGCTGTCAGTCAGAGCCCTGGGCCCCGCCCCCATGCGTGCCAAGCCCCGCCCCTACTCGCGCCACTCCAGACCCTGGGCACTGGCCGGATCAGCGCATGCGCGCAGGTGAAACGAAGTCGGGGTGGGGTGGAGAAGGCTGGGGGTCGCGGGCGATAGCTAACGCTGCTAAGTCCGGGTTGTGGACTCCGAACGATCTCGGATCTAGAGTCTGGATCGAAGGATGAGATACCCTGGATATGACTCTGTGAGAGACGTGACGTGAAGGGGTTTGGCAAGACCCGAGACCCTACTTGGAGAGCCCCCCTCCTCTATGTCCCACCCCTCCCGGGACTCCCTCTGCCACCTCCGCCCGCGACCGGAGTCAGCGAGCCGCCTGACTCTGCTGGCTGGAGCAATGATGACACCTAGCGGACAGTGACTGGGCGGCCCCGGTGGCGGCGATGGGGACCCCAGCCTCGAGGAGGTGCTATTGGAGGGCTGGGGTGGCGCTTCAGCACCAGCATGGGCCGGACAGCGCCTCCCACCCTGAGGCCCTCGAAACTCAGTTTTGGAGCTCCTCGGAAGGGATCCAATGGCAGACCCTGAAGGGATCTCGAACTTCTCCGGACCGCTCCCGACAGACCCAGGTGGCCTCCAGTTAGCAAAGCTGCAATCCGGGAACCCACTGTTATCCCCTCTCTAAAATCCTTTTCCCTCCTTGCCCAGCCCGGGGAGGGAGAGGAGGGTCCCACATCTGTTCATACTACAGTCCCTGACGCCAGTTCAAGTTTTACTAGAGAGGGGCCCCGAAGAGGACTTGGGACAGGACTGAAAAGCTGCGCATCCACTTGCAAGTTAAACAGTCGCCGGAATAGAGGTACACGTGTGTGGTCGGCGCTAGGACCCAGGACACCTGGAAGGGGGAAAGCCGGCTTGTCGGCCGGGTACGGGAGGAGCCCGGCTCGGAGCCGCCGGCGCTAGGGCGGCGCGGAGTTCCGGCGGTGGGCGGGGCTTGGGCGGCGCGCGCTTCCGCAGAAGGGGCCTGATGGAGCCCGAACCCGAGCTCGGGGGCGTGGAGGTTCCCGCGGGGCGCGTGCTCAGGTGCCGCACGAGGGTCCGGGGGCGCGGGTGAGCGGCCGGTGGGGAGAGGGGGCCGGGCCCGGCAGGGTGGCCTCGAGCTCGGCGCCGACCCCCTGTCTCTTTGTCCCCCAGTGCCGCGGAGCTCCTGGCTGCCCGCTCGCGGTCCCAGAAGCTGCCCCAGCGGTCGCATGGCCCCAAGGACTTCCTTCCCGACCGCTCGGCGACTCAGGCGGAGCGGCTGCGCCTATGTCGCGAAGAGCTGTGGCAGCTGCTGGCCGAGGAGCGCGTGGAGCGCCTGTGAGGGGGCTGGGCCGGGGTGGGGGGCGGCTGGGCGGCGCGGCCAGACCCCGCCGGGGTGTCTGGGGGACTGAGACGGACCCCTCCCTACTCCTCGCCAGGGGCAGCTTGGTGGCAGCTGAGTGGAGGCCGGAAGAGGGTTTCGTGGAGTTGAAGTCCCCTGCGGTGAGCGGCCGGGCTCCGTGACGGTCACCCGTCGCTGCCCTCCTAGTGATGTAGGACGGAAGAGGCTGGACACCCAAGGAATTTTCAGGAAGCAGATTTATTGGCTGCAGGGTCTAGAGGGGCTATTGCCCCTAGAAATTCTTGGAACTTTATACCCACGGTGGGGGAGGGACTTGAAGGATTATATTTTTGTAGGAGTCTAAAAGTATTATTATTATTTTTTTAGTTCACAAAAAAGTGCTTTTGCCCGATTTTTTTAGATTAGTCTCAGTGTTACGGTGTGTGCAAGAATTATAGACCACCATGCTTATTGAGCCAAACTGAAAAGGGAAAAAATGTCCTTTAGTGAACAAGCCAGACAAGCGACTGGGAGCAGGCTAACGCCTCAAAGAACTTCCAGCACTTAGATTTTGGAAGCACAAAGTTTATAAAGGCAAAACCCACAAAAACAACAAAGACAGTTGAGACAGATGTAGTTCGGAAAGACAGGTATTTTGATTACATGAGAGAATTGTTTTGAGTATACATTTCAGCGTTATTTTTGTTATACATCAGGGCCATAGTCAGGGCTGTGGAAAGGTCCTAATGTACTGTAGTCGACATAGATACAGCTGTCAGGAGGCTGTAAAGAAAACATTTTAAGCAAGCATAAAATGGATTCAGGCCAGAATAAAATGGTGTTACCTTGGTTCTTTTAATTTCAAGAGTTTTGCAAGTTTTACTACAAAAGCAGAAGTAACATCATCAAGCCTGTGACCAAACTTAGCTTTTTGAAAGACAGCAATTTAGTCCTCACAAAAAACTCACATTGAGTTTTTTTTTTTTTTTTTTTTTTTTTTAAGAAATTTTTGCTGGGGCTGGGGATGTGGCTCAAGCGGTAGCGCGCTCGCCTGGCATGCGTGCGGCCTGGGTTCGATCCTCTGCACCACATACCAACAAAGATGTTGTGTCCACCGAGAACTAAAAAATAAATATTAAAAAAAAAAAAAGAAATTTTTGCTGATATTCTGTTTATAAGAACAGTTACGATGAGGGTCTCTGGAGAAGCTTAATTAAAATTCTTGGTGGAGGCAGGGGTGTCACTATACTAGTTCATTTGTGACTCTTGCTCTGGGTCCCTTACAGGGTAAATTCTGGCAGACCATGGGCTTCTCAGAACAGGGCCAGCAGCGGCTTCACCCCGAAGAGGCTTTGTATCTGCTGGAGTGTGTGAGTGCAGTCCCAGGAGAGTCCCCAGAGGAAATAGGACCAAGGAATGGGAAGGACTTATTTTTATTGGAGTGAAAGCATACACAACATTTCCAGTGAACTTGTAATTGGGCTTGTTAGACAGGGAGGCAGGAATTCTGTGCAGGGAGCAGGGATTCCTGTTCAAATTGGGGTGCCTTCTCACTTTGCTGGTTGTTCATATTCTTGCTGAGATGCTGGGAGGTGGTGGTGGGAATATAGCACCAGGAGCTGCCCATGGCTGTGGCACTGCAGGAAGGGTGCACAGCTGAACTGTGGTCCCCATTTCCAGGGCTCTATTCAGCTCTTCCACCAAGACCTGCCACTATCTATCCAGGAGGCCTACCAGCTGTTGCTGTCTGGGGATACTGTGAATTTCCTGCAGTACCAGGTAATTGTCATATCCCCCCTCCCACCTCCACTACCAGGAGCCTCCATTCATTAAGTCAGTGAGTTATGACAAGTACCATTAAAGTGTCAGGAATAGTTAGTGTCACATGCTGGGGTGGCTACAAGACAGACAAGGACTGCGTTGTCACAGGGCTCACATTTTAATGGTGGCAATCAGATAATAAAATAAGCAAATGAATATTATCTTTACAGAGAACAAGATGCTAGATAGAAGATGAAGTAGAGGAGAAGTGGTAGAGTCTGGGATATTTGTTTAGGTAAGAGAAGGTAGGTTGTGGATGAGGTGGGATATCAGTAAATGGAAAGAAATAGATGAATCTCAGAAATTGTGGAGAAAGAATGGATAGGACTTTGCCAATGCATTGGATTTTTGATTTGAGGATAGAGGAGAATCAAGGATTATTCATTGGTCATGAACTAGTGGTTGAGTGGTAATATCATTTGCTGGCTGGGAAGACCCAGGAAGGAACAGATTCCAGAAGATGAGACCACAAAGAGCTTGTTTCAGAAAAGTTAATTTTAAGGTGCTTCTTGGACATCCAAGTGAGGATATCAAACAAACAATTGGACACATAAGCTTGGAGTCTTGGTAGAAGTCAAGGCGAGACATAAATGTGGATATCATAAGCACATGGGTGGTATGTAAGCCATGGGTCTATATGGGAGTGCATCCAGAGGGCTGGGTCTGAGACTTGGGACTTACCATATTGGGGAGGTTAGGGGGAATATAGGACCAGAAGTTAAGGAGTGTCTGGTGACAAAGGAGAAAAACAAGTGGGATCACTGAAGCCAAGAGAAGGTCCTTAAAGGAGGAAATGGTCAGATCAAGTGATAGGAGACATTTCCTGATATATCCCTCTGATATGGATGAGGGACACAGGGATGAACATGTGGCTTTTTACTAGGGACTATTTCTACTCAGGACTATGGAGAGGTGGGGATTGAGGAGATAACTACCACCTTCTCCCAACTTTTTGTCCAAACTTAGTATCAAAACATTCTAGGGCATAGTTCTTCTGGACCATCACTGTTGGCTTTTTGGGATTTGTGTTTATGCTGCCATGAGTGGTGGCACACTTCTGTAATCTCGGTGATTCAGGAGGCTGAGATGGATTACAAGTTCGAGGCTAGCCTCAGCAACTTAGTGAGACCCTGTATTAAAAATAAAGAACTGGGGATGTAGCTCAGTTGTAAAGTGCCCCTGGGTTTAATCCTTAGCACCACAAAAAATAAAAATAAAATTGCTAAATGTAATTTGTGTCCAGAATAAGAGAACAGAAATTCAGAAACAGATCATATTTTGGGGATGGCATTTATAATGCATGTGGTCCCAGTAGTCCTAGGGTTTGGGAATGTACAGGAGAAGCAAGGGGGGAACATCTTGTGGGGTGTGCAGGAGGAGCAAATGGGGAACAGCTTGTGTCTGGGGAACTATTAGTGTTTTTAAGAATGAAAATCTGAACTTTTTTTTTTTTTTCTGTTGAGGTCTTCAGCCACCTGAAGAGACTGGGCTATGTGGTTCGACGATTCCAACCAAAGTAAGTCCCTATCCCTTTCTTATTCATTCTCATCTTGAGACCTGGATGCTTAACCCTAGGTAGAAAGTGGCCTTTTCTTACCTGGAACCTTTGGCTGGAATGCAGCTCTCTGGACATAGACCATGGATCTGGGCTTGAAGTACTTTGTAGGGAGGCATATGGGGACAGATCCCATCATTGCATTTTCTAGTAGGTTATCAAATCAAGACCCAGCTGCAGATGAAGACTAAATACTTGCAGCTCATTGTGAACATTGAGATACAAACAGGCACAGCCTTTATTTTCTAAAAGTGGGATCTATATTAGAGAAATAGTCATGGCTGTGCATAGAAGTTCCCTTGTGAGAACATTCATTCATTCATTCAGCAATATTATTGACCACTTAACTGGTGTCAGGCCCTGCACTTGTTGCTGAGGAACAACAGATCCAAATGCTGCCCCACACAACTTGTATTTAGTGTGGAGTGTACACAAAACACCATCACTTTACAAAATCAGAAACAGCCTAAGAGCTGCTTATCTATTTAAGCAGTGTTGTTCTCATAGAACTTTCTGTGGTGATGAAAACTTCCACATCTGTGTTGTCTAATTTTATGTGGCTTGTGCAATTCTGGGACTGAAATTTTAATTTCATTTCATTTTAATTGATTGAAGTTTAACAGACACTTGAAATAGTGGCTGCTGTATCAAACATCGGGAGAAGTAAAAACATTCATGGCAGGGCCAGGCACTATGGTGCACATCTGTAATCCCACCAACTCTAGACCCTGAGGCAGGAGGATTACAAGTTCAAGGCCAGCCTCAGCAATTTAGCAAAGCCCTAAACAACTTAGGAAGACCCTGTCTCAAAAAATAAAAATGGCCGGGGAAGTAGCTCAGTAGCTCAGAATGCCCTGGGTTCAATCCCCAGTGGGGGGGAGGGGGGAAACACGTCAGGGAAGAATACTATAATATAGTGACAAGGGACTGAGTCCATAATATATGATTGAGTGGGGAGAAATAAGGGGATTACAAAGTAGTGTGTTAGTACAATGCCATTTTTTGTGAGAAAAAGACATAGAGGGACTAGTCAGTATTCAAATGTGTGTACATATATACATAAGAAAAAATGTTTTAATTTTATCTTTGTTTTTCTGATTTTTCAAGTTTTCTAGTTCCTCTTGGTTTTCCTCATCAGTGATTAATCATTTGTTTAAATTTATCATACCCTGGGTTTTATTCACACCAGGCACATTCTACAACTGAGCTGTGTCCCATTCTGATTAATCACATTATTGCTGGCTCTTCAGTGAGTCTCTGCCTAGATGTGTCATTGGTGATATCCAGAGCCTAGGCAAAGGCACATAATGGCCCCTGTGGCTGTCCCCACGTATCTTTCATGCAAGTCTGCTCAGAGCCTTACTCTTAGGTATGGCTCTGACCTTAGCTCTGACTTGTCCTCTTGGCCAGTTCCTCATGAACTCCACCAGGAGCACCAGTGTAGGGAAGTGGATCTATTGCCTACCTGCTGTTCATTCTTACTCCATAGCTCCGTCCTGTCCCCTTATGAGAGGCAGCTAAACTTGGATGGCTGTGCCCAGCACCTGGAGGACGGGACTGGCAAGAGGAAGAGGAATACCAGCTCTGAGTAATGCCCCCCACTGTGGCCACAAGCTGGGAGTGTTGGTGGCTGGGACTTTGAAGAATGCATGGGCTTGGGCAGTTCTCACATAGACCCAGGGAGACAGCAGAAGACCTGTCTTCCTCAGCTCACATGGGTGTATGCACCTTGGCAGTCAGGAGCTAATGTGTTGCTTTTTCTCCCATGTCCTTCAGGTGTGTTAATAAAAAAGTCACGGCCCTGAAGACTTCCCTGCCATCCACGAGCCTGGCAGCCTCCAGCCCACCTGACTGCAACCAAAATAGCCAATGCCCAGTTGAGAAACCCCAGGAGCCAAGCCCTGCAAAAGGCCCAGGGATCACCTTTCCATTTCTGGGTTCCTTGGAGCCCAGCCCTAGTCTGACCAGACAGAGTGTGGGGTATGACCGAGAAAGTGGCAAGGTAGAGAATGGAATCAAGGGAGCTCGTAAGCCTCGCTGGAACTTTGAGCAGATCTCCTTCCCCAACATGGCTTTGGATGGTCGCTACACCTTCCTATCTGCCCCAGCCCCAGAGTTGCTTCCAGCCAACGTCATTGGGCGGGAGATAGATGCTGAATCCTGGTGTCAGAAGCTGAACCAGCGGAAGGAGAAGCTTTCCCAATGGGACCAGGAAAAAGCAGAGGCCCGGCAGTTCCAGGACATAAACATAGACCCTGAGGTGCAATCTTGCTCCAGCTGGCGGGAATACAAGGAGCTGCTGCAGAGGCGAGACATGCAGAAGAGTCAGAGCTACCCCCGACACCTGTGGAGTCAGCCCATCACCCCCTTGCTGAGTCCAGGACAGGTGGACTCCCCAGGTACCTCTTCATCCTGCCATATCTCTGCAGGCCACTGGTAGCTGAAAATCATGACTTTGAAAGGGTCATGGATTGACCAGTGCTGGATGAAGCTTAATATGTGAGAGGAGACAGCTGTTGGGTATAATGGAACCTGTGAGGACGGAACCTATGAGGACAGTCAGTTCTGTAGACTTGAATAGCAGTGCCCACAGGGGAAGGTTTAGCCATTGTGAGTCAGTCCAGGAGGTGAGAGGTGTGAAACTGCACGTGCATCCTTAAAACTATAAACAAGATAATATCAGTGACTTTGACACTTACTAGCTGTGGTCTCTTCCCCTCCAAACCTGTTAAGTTGAACATGGAAGTGTTATCTTGGCTAAATTAAAGGATAACTGCTGTCCTTGTTTTTAAGCATAGGGAACTAGCAGGGTAAAAACTGCTCAAGCTAAATGTAACAAATTCAGAACTACTAAAAATCATCATAGGGACATGGTAGGTCGTAGGTGACTCGATTCGGGTCACCAAATCAGTTAGAATTGAATTTCAAGTAACAATAACTAATTTTTGCCACTGGGCCTGGCATTTACACTATTAATTATAGCTACTCAGGCTGAGGCATGAGAATTGCAAGTTCCAACTCAGCCTGCGCAACTTAGCAAGATTGTGTTTCAAAATAAAAAGGGCCGGGGGTGTAGCTCAGTGGCAGAGTGCCCCTAGGTTCAAACCCCAGTATAGCAAAAACAAAAACAAATGTAATTTTTCAGTATGTTGCAAATATTACACAGGACATACTAAAGAAATTTTGGTAAATCTGGCAACCCTAAACTAGATAGCAGATTCAGCAATGTGAAGAGAGTGGATATAAAGTTGACTCCCCTCCCATCTCTCCAACACCTTGTTTTCACTGCTCTGTAGCCCTGGTCCTTCAGCATATCTCCGTGCTGCAGACAACACACCTAGCTGATGGAGGTGCCGGGTAAGTTTCCAAGTGGTGCCTGTCTTCGTAATTATATCAGCTGCTAGGTGAAGTGACAGCTGGGATTTGGCTCCTAGGGTTGGTTGTGAGCTAGAGGATGCCTTTTGGGACCCTTTCCCACATGCTTTAGCTCCTAACAACAGCTAATGTTCATTTGTGTCAAGGGGAGTGGGAAGAATGACAGGTGGGGTTTATCTCAAAGGTTTGAAGCCCCCACCTCCCTTTTTTTTTGGGGGGGCGGGTGGTGCTGAGGATTAAACCCAGGGCTTTGTGCATATGAGGCAAACACTCTACTAACTGAGCTATATCCCCAACCCCAGCCCTGAAGCTCCTCTCTTTTAAGTGGCACCTTACAGCTTCAGTTCCCCTGGACAAGGCTGCTTCCTGAATTGGTGATGGGAAAAGGGTGTGGTGGAAAGGAAATGTGGGAAAAAGAGTCTTTGTCCTAAGGTTTCTCACTCTATTCTCCAGGCTGCTGAAGAAGTCCGGAGGCTTGGAGATCAGTTTTGATGTTTACCAGGCTGACGCTGTGGCCTCATTCCGAAAGAATAACCCTGGCAAACCCTATGTCCGGATGTGCATTAGTGGGTATGATATGAGCAAGCACCACCCCTGGGCTACTGCCAGTTGTCCTGAGAACCATATGGACTTTCTCTCCCCTATTCTCTCCTGGGCCAATCCCTGAGAAGAACCTGGGGTCCAGCGAAGTTAAGCGATATGTATGAGGCAACACAGCCAGTTAGTGCCATAGGAGCTCAAGCTTCTCAACCCTTGGTTCCTCATTGTTAGCATTCTTGGGTAGTCTCTCTTATGCCACTTTAGTCATGAGCTCACCCAGCAGAAGGGATGTGGATTGGGCTGAGTGGTGAGAACCTGGCCCTTCCTAACTCCCTTACCCTACTAGAGTACTGGGTGTCTCTTGGAGAACTTATCAGAGCCATTTCATTTGGAGACAGGAGAGCTCAAGGGTTCCCAACTGTCTTCCCTGAGAGCCTCAGAGGAGCTGGTATTTGGGGCTTAGTGGTGGGGTAAGGCCTAGTCTCAGTCTAACCCTTATACCTACAGATTTGATGAGCCTGTCCCAGACCTCTGCAGCCTCAAGCAATTGTCCTACCAGAGTGGGGATGTCCCACTAATCTTTGCCCTGGTGGATCATGGTGACATCTCCTTCTACAGCTTCAGGGACTTCACACTGCCTGGGGATCTGGAGCACTGACTACAGCTCTGAAGGTGTTGGAACCTGCTCTGGGAGACCTGAACTGTTTGCTCTCAGGGACTATCTCAGTTGCCTCCTGTACTTAAAGACTGTCCTGTAGGGGCCAGTGTGTGCCTTGGCCCTGGGTGTCTGATACTTGCAGGAAAGTAAAACCCTGCCCCATATCATTACCCCCTTGCTTGGGCTCTGCAGCTTCCAAGTCTCAGGCCTGAGAGTGCTGCCTTCAGTGACCCCCTTGGAACTCAGGACTAGATTTCAGAGGCCCAGGAGGTGGGACAGAAGAGAGGACTCTGTGCCTTTAACAAGAGGGTGCCTGTTTCGCCGCCATAGAGCCAAAGCCATTAAAAATAGATCTTTTTTTCTGCTGTGGCTGGATATACTGGACCACCTCCACCCTCTATTTTACCCACTTACGTGATGTGCCTCCTTGCCTGCGCTGAAGGCAGGACAGCGACTTCAAAACTTTCCACGAGCTTGCACTGACAGAAGGCTTGGGAAATTGCAGGTCTCCTGTAAGGTACTCCAAGAAGGGAGGCTAGCGCTCTATTGTTTCTTCCCTTAGCATAGCCCAGTCGGGTGTATAAAGGTGGCCAGGAGGCGCCATGTCCAGGTGCCCTGAATCCGGGTCACTCAGTGACCACAAGCAGCTGTGCGTGGTTAGCGCCCCAGGCCCCAGTCCCCTTCCATACCCGCCCCCCATCATTCTAACCCCCTCCCTTGCTTGAACTAAAAACTGATCTTTGTGACTGTCCCTCCACAGTAATAGAAGAGGGGAGCTAGCCCCAGGAGAAGGCGCTTGCTGCCACGCCCTCGTCTCTTTACAACCCTACACGTGGGACCAGAAACCAAGTTCTGGGTTCGCCAGTCACTGTCCCCGCCCAGCGCTCTGGAGGACTGGCGGGCTGTTCCCCTTCCTGGACCAGATCCGGGCGAGTAGAGGGAGGGATGGCTTCCTCCAGGAGTTGAACCTGGGAGGCGGCCCGAGACTGCCCGGGGGTTCCGGGAACTATTTCCTCCTCTTGGAGGCGGCGGGACACTGGGCGCGGCCTGTAGTCCTTCGGTCAGGTGAGAGCAGGTGAGAGCAGGGGCGGGCCGGCAGCGCCTCGTGCATATTCACGCAGGCTGCGACCCCGCCCCTGCGCTACTGGGGCTGCGGATTGGCCGGAGCGTGGTCCCCGCCTTCGAGGGCGCCGGGCTGCACCCGCGCCCCGTCGGCGCAGGGCAGCGGGGGCGGGGCCGGCAGGGCCCGGGGGCGGGCCGCTGGGGCCCGGCGCTCAGGGTTCCGCGGGCCCTGCCGGCTCGCCCTTTATGTAAATAGCGGCAGCTCCGCCCCCGGCTCTCCGCGCCGGAGGTGAGCAGGAAGGAGACGGCCGCCCAGCTAACAGCCCGTGGGCCCGCGCGGCAGATCCAGCGGAGCCGGCGGCGGGCGCCAAGGGACGCCGAGGCCTCGGGCAGGCGCCGTCCTGGGGTTCCAGGTGAGGTGCGGGCTGGGACCCACCTAGCCCGCCCCGCCCCTTTGCGGCGCCTCGGGGCGGGGAGGAGGAGGAAGGCCGAGACCCCTGGGCTTCTTGGGCTTACGGGCGGTAGGGCTGCGCCTAGTCCGCTGCCCGTCCTTGTCCTTGTGGTGTAGCTCCACTGGGAGAAAGACACCTGTAGAAAGTGCCGCTGGGAACTCTGTGCCTGACCCGCCCCCGATTACCAAACTTGGTATTTGGGTTTGCACAATAGTGTTGGCTTTCGGGAGCGTGGAAACAGGTGCCCGGCCGGACTGGGTGTGGGAACACCACGGGCAGAGACGGAGTCCCCGAGCCCCACGTGCAAGGCCTGGCTGGGGAGGGCCGCGACGCGGGTCTCCTGTGACCCTGTCTCCGCGAGCTGGGGCTGGAGCGCGTTACCTTGCGGCTTAGCCCCTACCCTGCCATCTGGGCTCTCTCCTTGTCGGCCCTTTGTGCCTCCTAATCCCCGGACGCAGGAAGCCCGCGGGAGGGACTTCGATCTCCGGCCCTTTTTCTACCCTAGGCGGCTTTGGACACCTTTAGACAACGGTGTTGAAACTCAGTCTGAGGGGTGGGGGAGTTGCGCTGTTAGACTTGATGAAGAGTGGAAAATTCTTGCCCCCAAAAAAGTGTGTCTTGGTTGGCTCCTACTGGACGGTTGGTGGAGACACTGGGCCTTGATTGTGGGAAGACCTGACTGTAACCAGGGCACCCGCCGTGTGGCTCTTGGAGGCGTTCACCTGAGACAGGTGAACTTTGGGGGAGGAGGCTGGGACTTAGACTCAGTACTCTTTCCCTTGGGGTTCATATGTTATGGCCTGTTGCCTTCACCTGGGCACTGTGGACACTGCAAGAGTATGTAACTCAGGATTCTGCAGAAGAAACTCTAAGCAGGGAGGGCATGGGTGTGTCAGAGTGAAAAACACAGGTGAGAAGAAGAGGATTGCTGCAGAACAGTGCTGTGCTGGCACACCCAGGAGAAGCCAAGATCAGAACTGGCTTTTGAGGAAGATTGGGTCTGTAAGCTGGGATTTCAGGAGGCCTGAGAAGGCAGACATGAAAAGCTTTTTTATTTTATGGACCTTGAATCTGACTGTAGTTTCCTAAGTCATCACAGAGCTTGCTGGAGGCAGTCAGGACTCAAGCCCAGCTTCTGGTTTTGACCAGATCTGGGTTCTCGTCTCTGAAGTTAGCCTGGAACAGTCCCTTTGAGGGCCCTTGAACAGTGTTTCTAGGATCTGGGGTTATTCTGCATCTGAAAGGGAACTGAATTTCTCCTTGGGTGGCAGATTAGTGTAATTTTAATTATATTAAAGTAACAGTGAGTTTTTAATAGACCACAATATTAAAAGAAGAAAGGGTTGATAGTCTTGGATAACCTCTGTTCATTTAAAAACAGAAAAGGGAATCAGGGCTCACAGTGAAACAAATGAAAGAATTTAGAAAGGGTAAAGTAATACAGAAAAAGATTCTTCTTTCCTGATGGTCTTTGGCAGTTCATTAAGATTTTTAGTGTCAAACACAAGTGGTTTTGAATCATGCTTTGTCAAGTTCTTGTTGTGTGACCTTAGCTCAGTCACTTAACCATGTCAAGCCTTGTTTTTGCAGATATTGCTTACAAGGTGAATATATGAGCATGTGTGGCCTGCTGCATAGTAGGCACCCAAGGACTAGGACCTCATTGCTTCCCCAGGAAGTATAAAAAGTGTCAGTCACTCACAGGCCTTTGAGTAGACACCTGGACCTCTTGGAAATACCTAATGGATTGAGGGAATTTGTTTCTCTGTCCAGAAATCAGCCGAGGGACCATGATTTTGTGGTCTTTTAAAAAGTCTCTGGAGGTCAGAACTGTTCCTCTGAGATACTTTTCAGGAATTGGGAAGGGGCCTCTCCTCACCTGACATTCTGTTCCCATTGCTCCTCTTATTTCCCTTGCTCCTTAGGTGAGCCAGGAGTGAGGGTTGATGGAGGGTCTTTCCTGAGTGCAAAGTCTAATCTGTTTTGCTACCGCAGGCCTGGAGGGCTCCCGCTGTGCACTCTCTATATCCTATTGGGGGTGGAGGGAGGCGGAGCAGCACATTCCTGTGCTGCTCTGTGGTCCTTAAGGAGATTGGAAATTCCATAGTGCTCCCTTCCAACCTCACTTAGGGAGGAGGTGTCCTCTCCTGCCAGGCTTTCTGGCCTCCTGGACTCTCCTTCTGGGAGGGAAAGTGATACATGGAAAACGAAAGCTTGAACCCTCTGCCATCAGCCTGTGACCTCCTGCTATCCACTGGGACACCTGAATATCCCTAACAAGAGCCTCCAGGAGCAGCATGGGAGACTGAGCTGTATGGTCTTTCCAGATGAATCAGGAGCAGCCAGTGAGATACCAGAGTTGGGGGCCAGAGTGGAGGCCACAAGGCCAGGGTGGCTTCTCTGGCTGGCTATTTGGAGCACACTGGTGGCCTGGACTTGGGAATTCTCAGTGCTCAGCTCTGAGAGGCCCTCTTATCTCACTTGGGCAGTAATGCTGTTGGGGCTCTTCCTGGCTGAGGCATGCCAGATAGGCTTGGCAACTTTGTTTTCCTCTGCCCAGGTGCAGTGTGCAGGGAGAAACAGGTACAGCGTAGAAGATGGTGTTCCCCTGGGAGGGGGGGACCCTGCTTACTGTACCCAGCTCTGGATCCCAGGGAGCTCCCCACTTGCTGTGCCCTGTGGCCACCTCCTGGGGTGGCTTTTACTCCTTGCCCTGCCTCAGAGGAAACTGATCCTTTGAAGAGTCACCCCACTCCTTCCCCTTCCCAGGAACTATGATGAATTCTTGAGTAGGAGAGGCTTCTTTGGGTGTGGGGACAGGGAACCTGCAAGGTACCTGACTCTACCCTTCAGGAATTCAGCAGAGACTAGAGCCATTTCTTGAGGCACCTGACTCAGTGTTCCCAGGGTTTGACAAAAGGGACATCAGGCACAGATCTATTTGCCTCTGGTAAATAGTGCTAATATTTAATAATAAAAAATCTGGGATTCTCCTTTCAAAGGAGCTTGGTGTCTTGGAGTATTGGTCCAAGGCAGGGTACCTTGATGACATCCACATGGCCCTGACCTTGACACAGGTCTTGAGTACATGGTAAGGGTAGTTTTCTGAGGACCTATAGGTCCCACCTTAGTGTTCTTTGGAGTCGATGACTGGAGAAGACCTGGTTGATTCTGTGCTGTCCAGCTGTTTATTCGTTGATTTAACAGGTATTTAGCGGTGCTTGTTGAGGGCCCAACATTGTTCTAGATACTGGGATGAAATCCTTAAAATAAAGGTCTCTGTCATCATGGAACTTTCTAGAGTGGGGCACATGTGTAACAGAAAATAAAGATAAATAATAAATAACACAATAATTGGTGATATAAATTGTGGGTTAAAAGAGCTAGAGCAGGGGCTGGGATTCCCCATGGTGGTGGGTTGCAGCTTTAAAAGGTAGTCAGGCTGAATCTCAGCAGGAAGGGGACATTTGAGCAAAGACTTGGAGATGAGAGAGTTCTTGAAATAAAATAATTTGAATGCCTTCCATGAGTCGCTGGGGATTAAACTGTGGCATAGTCCCTCCGTTCTGCAGCTGACATCTCCTGGCAGTTCCTTGAAACAGCTGTTCCAAGTTTCAGGGCAGGTAGGAGGCCCTAGGATGGGGCTGGACTGTATGGGCTGACAGTCCACCCACCCCAACCCCCAGCAAGTTGTCTGCTTCTCCGATGGTTTTGCTTCTTCTAGCATTTGGCCACATCTAACTGGCCTATAGTCTAGTGTAGGATGACAGAGGGGGCTGAAGCTGCCACATGGGAATGTGTGCATTCCCACCTCCTGCCCCACTCATGGGCCCAGGAGGGATAATGGAGGAAAGTCTTCAG